GCATATATTCTTTTAAATTTATGATTACACAATCAAGCTTATAGTAGTAATGCAGGTTTAAAAAACGTGTGAAGCCTTTCATAAAAAAGAGAGAAACCTTAGGTGTGAACTTGAACTACGACTCAAGATATACTATTGAAGTGGAGTCAAGCTATCCGACATTTTATAATATAGATATGAGGGTACTTTAGATAACATATCATTTTAATTATATAACCAATGAGAAGTTAATATATGCTGAAAGAGAAACTAGGAGCAATAATAATTGCTTTAATAATTACCTCAATTAATATCGATTATAATATTTAAATATTTTCTAGCATGACATAGAAAAGCACGACAATCGAGGAAGGACGCCACTGATGTTAGCGGTAACTTTGGGTCATATAGATTCCGCTGTAGTACTGTTGCAGCATGAAGCCAATGTTAATACGGAGAACACTCAAGGATGGACCGGTAATTGGCTTTTACATTTTGTTTGTTTATAACTTTTATTTAGACATTTGTATTTCCAACAATTCTATTTATATATATGTAAAATTCACTCAAATAATATTAGAGGCAATCAAAATTCAGTCCTGACGAATTACGGGCGTTTTTCTTGTAATTTGAATTCTATTTATTTTCATTATATAAATAGTCAATTTAATTTATTTTGATACAGTGGTCCAAGAAGCAGTTGGTACGGGAAACTCTGAGTTACTGCAATTGGTACTTGCTAGGAGAGACTACCAGAGGTACTGTAATCGAGTGGCTGGTATACCAGAGCTACTTCAAAAGCTCAAACAGGTCAGTTTTATGTAATAACTAATGAAATATTATTAATTCATATGTCGCAATACGTGTACAGTTCTCACAAAAGATACAATCTCTTTTATTGAAAGAGGAATTCTTTTCTGCAAGTTCTATGAACTAATATTAACCCGTGTGTTTCTTGTGTGAACTATTGTGTGAAAGCTAATGATATTGACTTTTTCTCATTCATTCTTTCTATATATGATGGTCTTAGTAATAGAAATCCTTTTCAGGCGCCTGATTTTTATGTAGAAATGAAATGGGAGTTTACAAGTTGGGGTAAGAAACGGAGGATTTAATAACATTCTGTTTTTAATTATAATCTTGTAGTTTAATCCATAATTTGGATCTAACTGCAATTTACACACTTATTTAATTCATTTTTAATAATATATGTGGTTAACTGCCGTTATTTCTGTTGACCAGTTCCTCTTGTGTCTCGGATGTGCCCAAGCGATACATATAAGGTTTATAAACAAGGTAGTAATGTGAGGATTGATACTACTTTATTAGGCTTTGATCATGCAAATTGGCAACGTGGCAATCGAAGCTATATCTTCAAAGGACAAAGTAAGCACAGATATCTTTAATAAACATCCTTTAATGTTGCTAACGTTTGTGCATGAATATCGTATATAACTTAATTTTTGTTTAATTGCATTTGATTATGTCTTGGAAATGTCAATTTGTTTATTATTAAATTCCATATGTTAATAAGCAAGCTGCGTCAATTCCGCCTGTAGCAATCAGATGTGAACACAGTTATGTGTTCAGTTTGGATGGTCATCACACAGGTGATACAATCCGAACATTTAATTTGTGCACTGCATTGCTAAAAATTTAATAAAAACAAACATTTTCGCATAAGCACAGAAAAATTTTCCTAACACTAACAGTATATTTTTTATTATATTCTAATTTTTTTATTTTTTCCATTTTCATTATTTATTTCTAGTAGTTTATATAAATATAAGTGAATAAATTGGCGATTAAATAATATAAGACAAGATATTGTTTTTATATCACATGTGTGTATATACATTTATTTATATAATGTACAATGTGATATATAATGTGACAATAATACGATCTTTTTTATTGAAATTTACATATATTAAATATATTAAATTATTTATTAAAACAGTTTTTTAAATAAAATATGATATTTTTGTAGATGATGGGGCAACAATGATGGAAGTAGATCATGAAACTAGAAAAGTTTATGTTGAACATATGAAACTTATAGGAGATGATAATATACAATTAATGGAACCACCTTCTGAAGAAGGTGTGATAGCTCGACTTACTAATCCTATAGTTACAACATATATAGATACAGATAAAATTAGTTTTGAACGGTAATTATCTGTCATTATAATATTTAATAATAATATATATACGTATTTATGTATATACATGCTTTGTTCCGCATTTATTTCAACAACATTGTTTATGTTGAATTAGCAATAAAGCAGGTCTATGGGGATGGCGTTCTGACAAAAGCGAAGTAATAAATGGTCACGAGTGTAAGGTTTTTAGTGCAAGCAATGTGGAATTAATAACTAAAACTCGACTAGAACACTTATCTGAGGCTGATAAAGCAAGAGCTCGAGCACCAAGGACTCCTTTACAGTCATTTCTTGGTATCGCAGAACAGCAGCAGGAGAGTTGCAGCACTGTCGCTGCCAGTGTAATCTTTTTTTTCAATAATTTTTCAATAATAAAATAATCGGTAATCATGCATTTAAAACGTAGTAATCGAGCTATATATTTTAGGAAGAATTTAATAGTGTAGGCAATTCTTCTAACATAACGGCTGAGGAATATTTTGACCCAGCTGTCGATTTGAATGGGAGAGATATAGGTAGACCAAAAGAAGTTAATACAAAAATACAAAAATTTAAGGTATTATAGATTATATAGGCTTGAAAACTGTACATCATATATTATATTGTATACTAATTAAGGCAATTTTTTCACATTTAGGCAACTTTATGGTTAAGTGAGGATTATCCACTAAGTCTTCAAGAACAAATCATGCCAATTGTAGACCTGATGGCCATATCTAGTTCACATTTCGCAAAATTAAAAGATTTTATTCAAATGCAACTTCCAGCTGGTTTTCCTGTTAAAATTGGTAAGATTGATTTAAATGTGATGGATATGCTATAGTATCGAATGTACATGTCATATACCAAACATACTAATACTCAATCTTTTTTTTTAGAAATTCCGTTGTTCCACATCCTTAATGCGAGAATAACATTTGGAAATATATTTGGTTTAGATCAAGAAGTACCGCATGTAGGTCATTTGCAAGAAACAAATCGTATAACTTGTTTAGTTGACGATATTTGTTTCGAAACACCTACTGGATATACCAAATTAGGTAAAACTTTTGTCTTTACATATATCCTTCAATTAATATATACAATTTGTTTAATTCATATTGGTTGAATATAGGTGCGGAAGTTAGGGCACAATTTAGTATTGAAGAAGAGGACGATTTGCTACAGTTTGCTATTCAGCAAAGTCTTTTAGAAGCTGGCAGTGAACGTGATGAGGTATTTTTTTCTTTATATTCTTTTGCTTTAGAATTATCGAAATCACGTATACGTGTATGGCATACATCCCCTCTGTTTTACACGAGAAAAATATTATTTCATTTATAGGTTGATATATGGGAAGCATTAAGAGCGCAAAAGCCATCTAGACCAACTACACCTAATATGACCACCGAAGAGGAAAGGCAGCTTCAGAGGTATGCGATAAACAACTTACTAAAGAGCATGTTATCGATGTTCTGTTTTTAGTTAATTTTATTATTGATGAGATTTTATTATTAATTTTGCATGTGTTTTTGTGCTACAATTCATGTTCAGACAGGTGGGTAATTCTATTACAAATATCAATGTTGGGTAAATTGTTCACACAGCAGAAATTATTCGTATTTAGATTAATATGGACATTGAATATACCGAACATTTTAAAAAGTTCTTGCAAGTGTTGGCAAAATAAACGTTAATATAAACTAGTTTGTTAAAATATTTGTCATGTCGCTTAAATTATTTTTGTTTTTAACATAGGGCGATTCAGGCTAGTTTAGTGCTATATCAAGAGACTACAGCTGGATCCACGGAAGGTACTGCGAATTCAGCGGGTATAAATGAAAGCGAAGATAGCGATTCCCTTGAAGATACTGCAGAACAATTGAGACTAGCGTTAAAGCTTTCCGAGCAGCAACAAATAGAAGAGGAGCAACAACGATTGCTGGAAGAAGAAACGTTTCGTCATGTGTTGGAGCTATCTTTGACGGACAAGTAAACTTCCCAAATGTGCAATAGTGATAACAAATTTACTACTTCCAAAAGTGAAAACTCTTCCAGTCTCAAGAGACTGTACAAAAAAATCATTTCCTACATTTCATAGATTGCAAAGTGCATTACGAAATAATAATGTTGCTTACAATGAATACTTGTTATTGAAGTATACAATTAAGTCAAAAGATGGAAATAGTATAGTAGTAGTTAAGCAAATGAATAATTTAAATTATGTTATTTATTTCTTAGCTACATTTTATATGAGACGAAATTCTTCAATATTATAGACATCTCAGCAAGCATGTAACGAAGTCTTGAAAATTACAGCTCTTTGAAAAAGATGAAGTTACGAATGACAAACAATCAAATAGTGTTTGTGTAAATCCTATTAATTGAAAGTAAATAATGTAAGTTACGATTTAATATCTAGAATAAATGGCATGTAATTCTCAAGCCTTCAAAAATTATTCGTCTGGTCCTTTGTCCTCAGTTTTTATCTCTACTTCTTTAAATTTATAATGCATATTAATTGCAATTAGGATGACACAGAAAGATAACCATCTTTAATCAAATCAAACATTTTTACAAAGATCCCTTTTCATATCTACAATAATATAATTCTATATAATATTTTAATGCAATGGCGTATAATGAACTATTAGGAATATACAGGAAGTATTTATATAAGTATTCAGCCCTCCTTCCAAAGTTTTTCATAAAAAAATAAACTGAGGATATAAGATTAGTGCAAAGATTTTAGAATTAACAGTATATTATTTATTATTTCAGATAAGTAAATTTATTTTTGTATGTTATTTTATCAATATTATATATATATAATTTTGATGTAAAATATGATTTATGTAAACTTAAGAGAAAAATTAATTACTATGCTCCATTATTTTTATTAAAAGAAAAATGGTTACAAGTGCGTTACAATTCCTTTTGTATTAATAATAAGATTAGACAATTTGTTATCGGAATATCATTAAAACATGATTACATTTTTCTTCTGGGCATTATAAATAAAAAACTGCATTCATATAAGACATAAGTATAATTACTTCTGCATTCACTCACCAACGAAGATGTATAGAAAGATAGCAAACGAATTATTATTCCCTGATTATATAATAAAAATTACCACGAGTAGAATCAGCGGCGGAAGAACCGGCAGTCATTGGACTGCCACATTTCTGCTATTCAAATTCCGATTGTGCCCTGAAATATAAATAAAATTATAAGCATTATAATTTATCAAAGAAAAATCTATATCAATCGACATCTTTTACACAAACTTTGTAAAAATGGTGCCAAGTATAGTAGCACTCTGTAAGTAACGTTGTTCGTTTTTATGTGCTTGTCGATGCCATTTTTTGCGTATGGCATTCCACCGTTCACTATGATCCTTCATTAATTGTTCTTGCGTTTTGAGAGTCTGTCCCTCCTGTAATTACGTTATGTACAATTTATATCTGTTATAATATAATTGTTAATACAAAAAAATATGTACAGTATACATTTTTTTTTATTTTTAAAACTTTAATACAGTTAAAAAAGAAATAAAGAAAATTAAGCATGATACATTCACGTATGGATTTCACTCAGTCATAAAATTTTGAAAAAGTACGTAATAAGAAAATCAGCGGTGATATTAAATTAAGAGACACAAGATAATTTAGAAGTTTAATCTTAAATGTCCGTTCAGCTTAATAGAACAATAACAAAATATTAACAATAACTAAGGACAATTGTTTAAATAGAAAATTAATTGATCAAGAAATTTTGGTACGAAATTAATAAAGTACCTATAAGAAAATATGTATATTAAAAAAGTGTATATTTTTATTAGACAGATATTTTTAACAATATGAAAAAAAATAAAATAAAATAAACATGCGTACCCTACATTCATTCCATATAATTGTTTTTCACATAAATTATTCATCTCTCTGTTATGTTATACACAGTATATATCATTATTCTTATGAGATATTTCGACAACAGATATTTGACAAAATATTTGGATTCTATTTTTATTATCACAAATTTTATAAGACATTACTTGTAAAATTTTTTAAATCGATGTTACGTAACTTGGTAATTAATTTTCAAATTAATATCTTATTATATGAACTTAGAAATAATTTTAACACATTTTTTTTAAGTTAAGAGGATTACTTTCCTTTATAGAATTATAGAAATTGAAATTTTTACTATATTAATTTACAAAATGTCCAATTTTTAAGTATGAATATTTGTGACATGTGCTTTTTTGAATCTGCTTTTTGAATGTACGTTTGTTAGCGGAAATTTATGTCTCCTGTGCAAACTTTTGGAATTAACCTCTGGGAATAGTATTGTCAGCTCGAAATAAACGCCAGCAATCGATTTTAATGTCGAATGTGCGGGAAAATGCAAAAATACGAACCTATATATCTCTAATGTTTATCTGTTTTTCCATCTTTCTATTCAGATAAGTTGTTTACCGATATATAAAATTGTACCTGTAGTGACCCATTTTCTATCGATTAACGCAAGATATTATTTTTAAAGACATCTTTAATTATGTCAAGATCGATGTTAGTCTGTCACGTTAGTCTGTAGCTGATTATAGCGTCTCAGGTGCAAGTCATAGGAAACGTGTACGAACCTGAGCACCTTGTATATTATTTATCAGTTTGTTAGAGTTGCGTGAACGCCACTTTAATTAAAGTTTTACAATCATTTACACTCCAGTCAGAAATGATTAGTCAAGTTGATATCAATTTGACATTGATGCGTCAATAAATGGTCGATGTCGAATAGTGATTGATATTTTTGTCACCTTTGACCTCATCAGAAATATTTTTATGTTAATTGAGTAATTATGAATATTTCTATAAGACTTTTATCTTTCAACTAATTCTCTCTGCATCGAATACATAATATATACGTATACATTGTGCTTTCCGACTTTGCATTGATTTGATGTAGGTAGAGTTAGAAAGACAATAGCAATCTTACAGAAATATTCGCAATTGCTTGATTAACATCACAGGTATAAGTTTTTTTATAATGAGGTCGAAGATGAGAAACAAAGATCAACCAATATTTGACATAGACTATTTATCGACGCATCGATATCGAATTAACGTCGAATTGACTAATTATTATTTCTGGCTAGAACGAAAAAATAACGAGAGACTCTAAAAATCAGTTTTTTGTTGCTGAACTGGCTGCACTAGTTCAGAGTTTATCTTTTTTATTCCATATTGGAACCTTATCATATTTCAATTGTGTTTATATATATATATATATACACATATATTTGTGTGTGCACGTGTGTGTGTGTGTATAAACTGACATGAGATGAGAGTCGGAGTCAAATTCGAGACTTGCTGACCATGAGACAATCGATTCTACATAGAGTCACGTGTTACCTTTTGTGAATTGTTTTAATATAAATTTAGATGACATACACCTATCGAAATTATTGACTTACGTAATCTAAGTTCAAATCGTCTTTCTCTCCAAGTATAGGAGATGGAATCCGATTTCTCGGTATGGCTTCTTCACGAGGCAAAGGAGGTGGCAAATAATGAACGTCATTTATTTCACCGTCAGCACCAACTAAGTTATCTGCCATGCTAACTTCGTTAATTACTTCTGGACTTGGACTACGTATCCTGTTCACAAATCAATGTATTTATTTTAGTTTTGCATAAATATATAAAGTTGTGTGTAAGGGAAAACAAATGAAGAATATTTTTATGATTTAATTTAGTCGCTAAGTATATTGTACATATATCTTTTCTCATTCTTTTCTCATTATGCAGTTTTTTAAATCATAAGAAACACAAAAAATACTGCAGTATAATTTATAGGAAATATAACTGCAATATATATACTGAAAAATCTCAAGTATAATAAAATATTTTTAAGTACAATAAAATATTTTAAAATTAAATAATCATCCAAAACTTTAATGTAATAAGCAAATATGTTAATATGAGTAAGATAAGCGATATCTATATAATCTTGCTTACTTAGGGACCAAATGTGGATTTCTTGGTTGATTAGCCATCCAGGCACGGCATATTGGATATAGCGGCGTGTCTTCTTGAAACTGAGCTAAATCAACACTACGGTCGAATAATTTCATCACATATGTGTGATGAAACGCCAGATCAGTTTGAATTGGTCGGCGACGTCTAACTTTCCGTGGTTGTTGTAGATTAACGGATTTTGTCCTAAATGTCACAATTATCGAAAGATTGGTTTCTCTCAAATAGGTAATTCTATGTAATAATAAACAAACATCGAAGCTTACATCTTTTTAATGGGATGTTTATAATCTGAAACAGGGCTGTCATCTGATTCCCCCGATGAACCAGTGTCACTATGCTGTAACAACTCTCGAAGAGCACCCTTCAGACGATCCCTTGCTACAAGAACATCGCTATCCCCTAGTAAACATAATCAATACTATAATATTTAATATAGTTTGTAATAGCTTGTTGTTTTTCTTTAATCTATTTATTCATTACCAATTTCATCTTTTATTTCCACTTTTATCCGTCCTGGCATTATTGGCGGTGGTTGAATATTTCTTTTCTTTCCCATCTAATCATCACATAATGTGTAATATTGACTTATTCTAATAGTTAACTAAGCAATAGCAAATTTGTACATTTAGTAAACAAAAAAAGATTACCTTCAACAATGTTTGAGTCACATAGAACAATTATCAGAACAGTTAAAATGTCAAATTTCGGTAAAATCAATCTGATCAAATGTCAAAATGTCATTTCGGCTTAAAATCGGTATTTCGGCTCATATTCGTCCAGCAAGAAGTATACTTCTCTTATGTACCTGAAATGAATTATTAAACAGTTATTGTAGTTTCTGCAGCTAGAAAAATGTAAGATATCAGATAAGAGAAAGAGAGAGAGCAAGTCTCAGTTTCGATTCTCACTTTTTCCTAAGATTACACTTGGCAAACAATTGACTGCACGATATAACAACCGCATATATACTTCCATATATACTTCTAAATTTACTAAATCCGTTTTTCAAAATAGACCAAAATAGCCTTGCTTTCGAGCGTAGCCTGCAACCTGACGACCGTGATCAGTGATTACGCTTGCGCAGCGAACGGTTTGCGACAGCTGTTGAATAATCTGTTCTTAGCTTGGCCTTGGCTGCACTACGTTATATATTTCTACACTTGAAATGAAATAAGCATATAATCAGGAATTGAATAGAAAAAGGAAAAAGATAATTGATACAAGAAGTTCAGCTACACTGTACCAGAGTGAAACCTAACCTACAGCTAACTGTACTTTCTGTGAAATGGACAATAATCAGGAGGTTAGAGGAAAGGAGAAGGAATGAGAAAAAGTTCAGCTGCGGGAACATAACCTATAGCGCCAGCTTCGTATAGATTGAGATCCATAAATACACAGTGTTCGAGAAAGTTTAAGCATGTGTATTGCTGCGTGGTGTATGCAGCGTGTTGTTATGACAAAGTTATTATTACTGACAAAATGCTTTTGTCGCAGATAGAAAAAAATAATCGCTATATTAGAATGTATTGTGTCAAATAATTGAGAGAACAAAAAAAATATATATATATATACGTTAAACGTATCTGTGGACTGACATGGTTGTGACTTGTGACAGTAAGACTATACAGAATGCTTTGGAAAGTATCTGCTGAGATTCTTATATTTTGTATGGTAGCAGATGTTTTTCTTGCTTCTGATTATTCCAAACGTAATGACGGTTACGAATGTAGATTAGGATCAAAAACTCCTTATAGATGTGTAGCTAATTACGACGAGTCACCGTTGGAATATCCAGGTATACCGCGACACCGTTAATCCGCCTTTGACCCAAGTACGGAGCCTCTAATAACGTGTATTTATCATTATTTGGTTTACAGATTGTGTGGAGAAAAAGATCTGGTTAGTTCTGCGTCATGGGACTCGGTATCCAGGCAAGAAGTACATACCTCGTATGATAGATGAATTACCAGAGTTACAAAATGTAATATTAAACAATTATGATAAAGGAGCGACGAATCTGTCAGCCGATGATGCGGCTCTGTTTAGAAAATGGAGATTATCGTTTGCTCGAGGGCACATGATGAAATTGGCGGTAGAAGGGGAGAATGAAATGATTGATCTCGGAGAAAGATATCAGGCAAGGTTTCCGTCTCTGTTGCCAGAAGATTTCAACAACCAGACGTATAAAGTATGCACCGCAAAATATCCGAATGTATTCAAGGACCGTATACAATAGCCGTAAGAGAATGCAGTAAGACGTAAGTAGTAAGCTATTGACCAACCACAGTCGATTATTCTTGAATTATAAAAATTCCATTAGTCAGTAGCTTACTGCTTACGTCTTACTGCACACTCTTACGGCTATTATAGATGGTCCTTTTTAAATACACATTTTACGTTCCTTAATCACCAGCTGAATTTTAGTTTAGATTCACCGCCACACAACGTACAGAAGAGAGCGCAAGACACTTCGCTGTTGGTTTATTCGGTTTTCATAACAGCAAAAATGTTTGGTATCCGTTACCGGTGTATCGAGATCGAGTGATAAGAGTAAGTTGTTTTTAAGTTCTCAGACAATTTACTTTGCTCCTACATTTTCCTAGTTCTTCAAGTATATGATTGTGTTCTAGTTTTACAAGGCTTGTCCTCGCTGGCGTCAAGAAGTTGACAAGAATTCAGATGCACAACTAGAGAAAACGAAATTTCTGGACAGCAAGATTGTCAAAAATATGTTAAACAATATTAAAAAGCGCATCGGTTATGATATCGATTATGGTTAGCACTTATTAAACACATTGTATATAATTGGATAAGTATTGTTTAATTGCTACTAATATTTCCCTATTAATTGTGTTATATAATCATTTATATGTTTCAGAAACTGCATACTTAATGCACACAACGTGCGCTTTTGAGACTGCTTTAAATCAAAGTGTAGTATCTCCCTGGTGTAAAATATTTTCATTAAATGATTTCAGAGTGAGATTTAAAACAAAATAATTTTTTTTACTTCCTAGTTTTTGAGAGATTTAATTGTGTACCTAATTCTAAATTCATATTTTATAGATCTTTGAATATGCGGAAGATCTAGAATTATATTGGATCGATGGATATGGCTATCCACTAACTTATGAGCAAGCGTGCCCTGCCTTGAAAAATATGTTTGACTCTTTTGAGTATGCAAATTTATACTTGTTGCAATATTCAATATAAAATTCTTGTTTTTTTACTGGTTTTTTAAGCTACAAAAACGAAAGAATATGTAGATTTTTTGTTTATATATGTGTGTGTCAAAAAGATTTTAATTAATTGAAAATATTTTAAAACGATACATATGAGACTATAGTTTAAATTTTGAAAATTTGCAGAATTATTGTTGTAAATAACTTTATAATTAAATATAATTCAATTGTGTTAACGCAGCGTATCAGAAGAATGTTATTTTTCAGATCCAATGAAGGGGCAATGGCTACAGCTTATTTTACACATTCCGGCACGATTTTGAAATTAATAGCTTTACTCGGGCTAGCTAAAGATGCACATCCTTTGATGCACGACTCCTTTACATTACGCAAAAAGGAAGATAAAAGAGCTTGGAGGAGCAGCATTATTGACACATTTGCATCTAACATGGCATTTGTTTTGTACGAGTATGTTTCTTTTTTAAAATCATTGAATTATACGCTGCCTGTATTGTCATGTATAATTATCTAATTACATTCTTTTCAGTTGCGAGTATTACGGGCCCAGTGTGTTATTCATGCTTCAGGAACGACCGGTATATTTACCAGGCTGTCCGAAAGATATGCCATGTCCATTACGTACTATGAAGGCGATGTATCCAGATAACGATGAAGAATGTCAGTTTGACGCTATGTGCCATATACAAAATTGAAGAGCAGTGCCAAAAATATTTTTGCAATAATGCCATATACATATGCATCCTTTTATTTATTTACATATCTAATTAAAAATATATTAAAATAATTTAATTTAAAAAATATATATATTTTTCTAAGAGAAATTTTGCCAAAACGTACCTGGTTCATTTTTTGATGAATTCAGAATCTATGTTTTTTAAAATGTACAATAAAAGAGATCGACATTTATTTTATCTTACCATGTACATAAATAATTATTAATAAACAATTCAATTATCATTACATTTCTTTTTATTTATATATAAATGACAAATGTTCCTTATTGTTAAGTAAAATTCTTTTTCGTGCAATATACTTGTCCGTAGAACTGATGAGGAATGAGTTGATATAAAATATATATTTAATGATGAACAATGATTTTAATCTAGATTTTTATGACTATGAATAATTGTAAAAAAAAAATAACAATTCAGACAATTAGCAAGTTTCTACGTAAAATTGAAAATAAGCTCTCACAACAAAATGTTTAAGTGATTCAAAACTGTAAGTGTTGCGTTTATTATTTATCTCTTTCTTTAGGCTGTTGTTTGGAAATATTATAATATTATTCAATGATGAAAATACTTGAAAATTCAGAAATAAAATTAAAAATTTAATTTTTTTACATTGTTTTCTCATCAATTTGCTGTTGATAAAAATATATAATCTGCCTCTTTTTCTGTGTATTGTCTCTTTATACATAGTTTTGTATTTTATTTCTGATCTTGATATTATATGTTAAACTTGTATTACATACATATTATTGAAAAATAGTCCTATTTAAAATACACAGTTGATATTTAAAACCTTTTAAAATCTATGAGTTTGAAATTCTTGTATAAAATTATTGTGAAAAAAAAAAGACGCAATATATATTCATGCGTGTAACAATTATACATTTATGTCGGCTTATGTGAGAACTTGAACGCTTTCAACAATTTTACATAAAAACTGGATAGTTCGTCGTACCTATTTTATAACGTTGTATTAAGAAATCATTTTTTAAATCAAAGGACACTGTCTTCTAATGAATTATTTATATCATTTCTGTCATCTCCAATCATGTCCTGCAATAGAACACATAACATATAATTATAAAATAGTAACTAGTGCCGAATATAAGTATCAATGTAATAGATATATTACCTGCAGCACTTCAACAAGTGCCCTTGTCTCATTTAACATTTCTTTATAAATACGCTTTTCTTCTTCTAACTTTTCGATACGTTCTACAAGTTCCTTATTTTCTTCTAAAGCATTCTTAAGTGCTATTCGCCTCCTTTCAGCCTGGACCTGCCAGTAATTCTCACTAGGACCAGCTAAATCTGAAAGAAATATTTTTTAATAGAAAATTTGTCTTTTGTGCATTCTGGTTTTTAAGAGAGAATACATATGAAAAAAAAATGATATATTATTTTAAATATACCTGTGCATGTTAAATCTTCGACTACGATCTCTATTTTGTGAATCTTTTCCTCTGATACAGTTTGGACAGCCTTGTCATTAGTAGTCACCTTTTTTTGTTTCTTAGAAACATCCTTTTTAGTTTTTGTAGGTACATTTCTAAAACATACATAGGTTTAACATTTTCCACAAAATTTTCCAATAAATTTTCCTTAAAGTAAAGATTCTATAAGAAATGACTTCTTTGGTACATTCTCATCATGCATACTCAAAAGTATAAATATTTTTATAAAAATTTTTTGGTCAATCTCTTCATAAGTCAAATGGGAAGAGAGAATTAACTTACTTTTTTGATTTTGCTTCTTTTGGTTGCTGAGTGGATTTGATCATTCTGTCAGCACGATCAGCACCAACTAAAGTCTCTTTATCGGTAGCTGAGGGCTGCAGTTCGTGCAAAGATTTTCTAATTTTATCCTGCTTTAATAAAAGAAATAATTACAATATGCATAGACTATTATATATTTTATACACAAGTATTATATCAATTTATTTACTATTCCTTTTATTCTGTAATTAAACTAGTTATTTTTTATTTACAGATTTTATTTGCAATACATGATGTACTCTTCTTTCAGAAAGACTATTATGTAGAATATATATAGGCATTTTTAATAAATTTATTATAATCAAACATCAATTTTTTTAATATAATTATCCCACATAGTAATAAACAAAAATACAGTAGATTTATAATTTGAACATAAGATTTTTACACACGTTAGAGACATATATTTTTAATCCAAGGCAACATGTATCATAAATTTCTATGAATAATAAATCAATTGAATAATATAAACTGAACAACTAATTATATATATTAACAGTAACAAAATTCAATAAACTGAAATTAAGTGTATACCCAACAGACTTAATTATTCTGTAAGTTTTGGTACACGTAATATTTCGTTTGGAATTTTCTTTCGGCATGTATTCGTAAATACGATTGAACAAAAAATGACCTTCCGATTGTGTTGAGAAATTCTTAAGTATGTAATATCCCCAACACAATCGGAAGGTCGTCGACAAGGGAATATAGAACGTATATTCTTATTAAGAATATACGTTGTAAAAATAATATTTATGTCACACGTGCGTGGAGAGTGGCCCGTTACGCACGCGACGCGTGCGTGATAGACCACTTTCCACGCACTTGCAACATAAAATAGGGTGTGCAACACGTGTGTTAAGTTGAAAATTGGACGTGCGGGTGATCCGCACGTCCAATTTCCATCTTACAGCACTTGTTACCCAAATAACTATTTCTATATTCCCTTGTCGACGATCGAACAAGAGACGCTTATAATACGAAATCACGTTGGAACATCGTCATTTTCTCGACGATTTCTGCGCGACAAAAGAAATAAACACACTAACCTCGGAAGCGATATTTGTTTCGGCGTCGGTAACCGGTTTCATCCTACAAGCCGCAAGAAAGATCTGAGGAGGAAGGTAGTAGTGCTCGATCGGCGTACGACGAAAAGACGACTCGTGTGTTACTTTATTCACGAACAGTTTGGCATCACAATGCGAATGTCGTTTGAATAAAGTTTCAGTTAACTTTCCGATCGGTAATCATACGGCTCTTCTCCTGATAAATATGCTCCACTCGGGCACACGCAGCGCAGCTCACAGCTCACCTCACACAACCGGTTAGATCAGCTGCATGGCGGGAACTGCGAAGTTGGAAACACTGCATATGGTCATGTGGCCAGCCATGGTGGAAGAACACAGAGGTGTGCTCATGCGCATATATTTCTAACAGCCAATGAGAATTTGGTCGCGTTCAGCAGACCAAGCCGCTCAGTAGCAATCGAACGTGCGTGGTTCTTACTTTTAGAACCAACCAATCAACGCAGAGTGTCGATAAGACGAACTCAACAATTGTGCAACAGTTGTGTCTGCTGAACGCGTCCATTGATGCCAGATACCTCCATCTTGCCGCGACAGTTTGAATTTGGCGTTATGTCATTATCGTCATTATGCTTAATGCAATCTCGATCTTTAATATACATTAATAATTTTAGGAGCGACAATTTTAATCTGATCAATTCGTTTTAATTGCATAAAACTAATAGCGGTTCAATTTTCGGCCAAACAGGCAGTTGCCGAACGATTCACGTATTGACAAGCGTCATTTCCGGAGAGAGCATTTCGGCCGAGGAAGGGCGGGAAGAAGGAGAGGAGGGGGGAGAAGAGGTCTGCTCACCGAATCCGGTATCGGCCATTTTGATCTGACCATGGCTGCCATCGTCATCGTCGTCGCGTAACGATTATTCTCGCGTAAACGCGTTTCACTTATACTCTCGATCGTTACCCGAGCCGCTCTCAATTTAGAACGATTGTCGCGGCGCCTGCACGTTTTGTAGCTCGATAGTCTCCGGTAACCGAGGGACGCCTTGTCATTCACGTTATCTCTCCTCTCTTGTCCGCGAGCAACGTGAAATTCTGTGGTCCGCTAATGCGTGGCGTTTCAGAGAGCTCCCCGACTCGCGCAATGGCGGAGGATTTGGATGTCGAGGCGATGCTGGAGGCGCCGTATAAGAAAGGGGTAAGCCTTGCTTCTCTGTCAGCTATTGTAGACCGATATCTCTCTTCGCTACCTTTTTCTCTCTCTCTTTCTCTCATTTGGGTCTCCTGGGTCGCCGCCGTTTCCGCCCTCGCTCACGCTCGTGCATCGCATTGTACGTGCCTTCTATTTTTTTTTAATTTTTTAATTTTTTAATAAACGCACTCGCCGCCGTATGTGAGAGAAAGGGAACCCGCCGCTCCTCTATCCCCCTGTCACTCTCGCTATATATATATATTTTTACTCTCTCTTTCTCTGTGTGTGGTATATATGGATAGTTTTATATACAAGTATATATATATAAAAAAAATACATATATATGTAGAACAAAGTACGCCCTTGTCTCTGATGTATCAACTATTGATCAACACCTCCGTTTTCTGTACTTATAGATGGTACGTAACATGTACCCTCGCGCTCATAGGATGTGCGCCAGCGAGTTCCTTGCACTTGAAAGACGACGAGGTATTAAGATACAGCAATCATCTAACATCATTTTCTAATAATCTCTTCTCTTTTTTTCCTGTCTCTTTCCTTATTTCTAGTCTCTCTCTATCTCTCTCTCTGTCTCCGTTTTTTTATCTTTTTTTAAAAATTTTTTTTCTTACAAAGGTGTTAGGTTTCATAAGATTAAAATGGAGATTACACGCGTCACACTGTCATGGCGGTACACGCTCACGCAATCAAATGGAGGCAGTTCTTGACAATGATAACGATGATAACTCGTGGTAATCCATGGGAAGCTTCATGCTGTTTGAACACATGGTAACGACATTGGTACCGTTAGACATGAGTCCCTGAGGTTTTTGCGCCAAAGCTTACGCGGAATAAAAGTCGAATGAATGTGCGCAAGTGTGTTTGAATGCAAGAGCGTGCGATTGAACATTTGCAAGCAACTTAACGAATTAATAACGTACTCTGTGGGATCCTCGGATTCCAGACTCTATGAGAATTTTTGACATTTTGTGGGTTTATTACAATTCTGCCATCTCGAGCATGTAGGAATTCACGAGTTCGTGCAGCGTACCTTGCGACTCAAAAATAAGTACACGCGTGTGAAAGTCGATAAAACGTATTGAATAATTCAAATCATTCTTCTTGCACTTTGCTATAACGTAACACTCCTTACTCGTTGTTTTTGCTGAGATAAAGTGTATCTTATCTGTAAGATATAAAAAGCAGAAGGGTACTCCATATTTCACAATACTCCGATACTTAATACTCGTATTCAGAAATCAATTTTACGAAATACTCATTTTCACTATCCTTACATAATCTAAATACATCTTTGTTTCTTATCGTTTAATAATTATTTATCTAGTATTAATACATTATCATATATAAGTAGTAGAGCTTGTCGATTGAACTTTATTGTGATTTATAAGTTTAAAATATTTGCAATTGTTATTTCTGTTTGTTTCCACTTAATTTATAGTTACATTATTTGAATACTTATCTCTTTATATCAAACGTAACAAAGATAATTCTCTTTAGTTCTTATTGCAAAGCTGTAAGATACAAATATTGTCATATTGCAAAAGTGCTATAGTTGTCAGATGTTTTTTTAGGGAACTTGAAAACGTTTTACTTGTAAAGGTTCATGAACGAGCTCATTTTTTACATTTCTAAACCCTGCCCACTATTTTTGTACAACTTGTAATGATAGCAATTTGCCTTTTAGGTAGTGGCATCGATCAGGTATCACAACACTTAATCGCAGTGCGACAGAAGACACGTCAGGGTTCCGAAATTCATACTTTGCTTTTAGCTTATTATTCTCTACTAAATTCGACGTTTCGAAATTGTTTACAAAATGCCTATCCATCTTATCGATCAGTTTTCAGTGTAGCTTGAGGTAAATGACGTGAGTCATGTAGAGAGCTCCAATTTTTTAGAATTTTAAACGCGCAGTAATAATATAATTTCTAATGTACTGGAGATTTGCGTGTAAAGACATTATTGTACATTCTGTGCGTAATTTTTTGTAAAACGTTTTTGCTCTGAGAAACTGGATAGGAACTTTGTAAGCATCCTGCGTTACGTCTTAAGTTTGCAAACGACCAGGTGAAAGTATAGTAAATTGGCCAGTAAACTAAAACAAGATAATTATATTTATTCAAGAAAATTGTTTCCAGAACTTGCTTTTGTTCTCCATCCGAATATTTCGTCTTCTATATCCTTAATAAAGTTCAACGTTCACCAAGTGAATTAATGTTTGAATTGTAAGAGAAGAAATAACTGTTGTTTGTACTGCCACTTGCATTGTCATTGAAACACGTTTTACAGCGAGAACGAAAGAATTTTCTGAGCCGGATCGCGAATCTGTGCGAGTTGAATCTTGCAGAGTGGGTCGGTCTCTTCCCTGTGTTGGAAGAGAGGTGGGGGGAGGGGGGAAAGAACAGTAGTCTAAAATCTATCTCCCTGATTAACGAGAGACACACTCCCTAATCAGCAAATGCGCGTTGGTAATCGTAGGCTATATAGCGATTAGGGGTGCTCGCTCGCGTCTCTCGCGTTTACACACCCTTTTGAAATCGTGCTGTCTTTGATGAGGGCTCTCTTTTGCAGAAGAAAAAGGATGTGTGGTTGGCCATTGGTAGTTTAAACACCAAGGCATGCTCAACCCAAGATTGCAATGCTTTCCTAATACCCGATAAAGCGATTGGTAAGTTTGAGCCAGGTGCATGCGACCGTGTCGCATCGCTATGCTCGCCCCGTCTTTCTCTCTCTTTCTCTCTCTCTGTTATACACGCTCTCTCTCACGCTCGCTCTCTCTTCTCTTCTTGTACCTTCCCCTCCCTCAGCGCTCTCGGAGAGTCCCATAGAAAGTTCTGGACAAAAAAAAATGAACAGAAAAGATGAGAAAGAGCACGAGAATTGACACCGACATCTGTCTCATCCAGCATCAAAAAAAAGCATTGCTTTTCCGCAACAAGGGAAGGTTGCTACCGTAGTACTGACAGGCGATACGAAAAAGAAAACAGATTCTCTCGTTCGTAATTCTCGTTGAATTTGACATTTGACAATAAAACAAAAGATATTAAAAGAACGACATACATATATATATATATTATATATATATAACGTTATTGTTATATTTATACATATTTATAGCGAAAAGACTGTCGTTATGAAATTTACTAACGTTCTACGATTTGCTTTTTGTCCCCTTGTTCGCGCGTCCCTGCCACATCGGCTGGCTGGCATGGCATTCAACTGTTTGCTGTTCGTAGGAGCAGGACTCCTCTTCCAAAGACAAGTCCTCCAAGGAGAATGGGTCTAGTCGCAAATCGTCTGGGTGAGTAGAACCTTCTTTTGAATTACTTAGTTATAGTGAAAATTAAATGGAGATTATAGATGAGGATTACAAAACTTAATTGCACGACCCTTGTATTTAACTTCGAAGCTGAGCAAGACTAGGTGAGACCCTACATCACACATTAAAGCTTATTAGAATTTGGAGGTCTTGTTAAAACACATCGACTCGCCATCGTCTTACTTTCATTTTATTACGTTTTGAGATTTTACTTGGGTCACTTTCAAAATAAACGAATTTATACGTATCCGTATGTCCGGACGGTACGTTATGGCATTGAATACAATGTGTTAATGATAAAAAGCTAATGATGACAGAGTAACGTTAATTAAGAATAAAAGATGTTTCGATTTTCTAATCATTTTATTTAATTTTCTTGTGCTATTCTGTGTGTTCTTTGTTGCAACGTGAAATAATCTTTACGATTGTACGGGTTGTCAAAATTGTCAAGGAATCTGTCATTGGAATATATTGTGACTATTATTTGAGTATTATGTTAGCATGTCGTTAATCCTGATACACCGTCAATACACTGTCGAATCAAGTTAGAGTAAAAAAAAAAAGCTAAATTGTCATTTCCCGCAACGCCTTGTGATGTTGTTATACCTTTGCGCCATAATTGAAGCAGCATTAGTCACTCGCCTAATAGACCCATCTGAAGTTTTATTCTCTTTGTTATAGACCCCATACAATTAGTAAATGCCGGTTAATTTCATAATTCCAAAGGTTAAACCTGATGATGGTAAGTATATAGGAAGAATATCTGTACTACAGATTCTCCTTTCGTGAAACGATATACTTCCTTATAACTCTGACTGAAAAGACGAAATAAAATTACATAAAATTACTAAGCTGCGTTGTGCTACCTTTAACCGAGTCTTAGGAAACTCGGTATTAAAGAATACCAAAAAAAAAATTCGGTAACGCAACTTTCTTTTTATGGCTGAATCAGATATAGTGGAAAATGCATTTTCCAGCATCTCAATATACTCATCATTTTAGCATCATTCATTCAAATTACTTGCCAAAAAGATTTTAATCCGAGTATTCTGGTGATAACAATATAATTTTATAATAATTATAAAAATCGATGCAGATGTTGAAAGAATTCATTTAAGATTAGCATTATTTTACATATGTAGGGATTTCTCTTCAATAGAATGGTTCAAACCTACTTTTCTTAGTAATTTTTACATTATTTATTTTTTTAATGGGTTTTTTAATCAATGTCTTAGCTTTGAAATGAAAACCACATTCTTAATTTAATATAAGCTGAGTATAGTACATATGCACAAGAGTATATATATTTAAAACAATTTCATACACGTGGGTATCTTGAATCTCCATCTTGATATTTAAAGAAGTATTATTCAATTCGCTTTATTTCGAGCGAGCCTTTTTAATTGAAGTATTTTTCTTTCGTAGGAAAAGCAAACATCGCTCGCGTTCTCGTTCACGATCCCGAGATCGCGATCGCCGAGACAAAGATCGACGGGATCGCGACAGAGACAGGGATCGAGACCGCGATCGCGGCGACAGGGATCGCGATCGCGGCGATCGCGATCGTCGACGAAGATCAAGATCGCGCGACAGACGGGATCGGGACAGGGATCGGGACGGCGAACGAGATAGGGATAGACGAGACAGAGATCGGGACAGGGACAGAAGGAGGAAGAGATCGCTGACACCATTGACCCTTCCTAGAGCCCGACCGCCGTTCGGCAAAGGTCACAGTCCGCTTGGAATGTAAGTATATCTGTTACATTTATGATAAGACTTCTCGTACGACTTCTATACTAATGAAATTTGAGATGCATAATTGACTAGACCCAATCATGGAATTGCAATCTGTGATTTTGGGGGTATACTTATGCTAAATCAATATGAGTATTAACTTTGGTTTTGTTACTATTGCATTTAGTAACAGAAATTAATGTGCAACAATGTCAAACTAAAGAGTTCCTCCAATCTTTAATATTTAAGTTTTTTTAAATATTTAATGAATATAATAACATATGTCTTCAGAAACGATGAATTAACACCAGAGGAACGAGATGCTCGGACTGTCTTTTGTATGCAGTTAAGTCAGCGAATTCGTGCGCGCGATTTGGAAGAATTCTTCTCAAGTGTCGGCAAAGTACAGGATGTCAGACTTATCACGTGCAACAAAACTCGAAGATTCAAAGGGATTGCTTATGTAGAATTTAAAGACCCAGAGAGTGTGACACTTGTGAGTATATTAATTGGAGATGATAATCAAATAGTATTTTATGATATGTTCCCTGAACGTTTTCCTCATTTAGAGAAATTTTTTACTGAATTTTGTACTGAATAGCTGGAAAAGTATTTCCTTGATTCTCATGTTACTTTGTAGGCTCTTGGTCTATCTGGTCAAAAGCTTCTTGGAGTGCCTATCGTAGTACAGCATACACAGGCTGAAAAGAATCGCATGGGTAATTCGATGCCGAATCTAATGCCTAAGGGACAAACAGGACCCATGCGATTATACGTAGGATCTCTACACTTTAACATTACAGAAGATATGCTTCGCGGGATCTTTGAACCCTTTGGAAAGATTGACAACATACAATTGATTATGGATCCTGAAACGGGGCGCAGCAAGGGTTACGGTTTCCTGACTGTAAGTTTTCACGGCATTATTCATATGCACAAATGTCTCTCTTTAAATACGCGTCAAGATATTATTTCTTCATATAATTGAATTAATATTTTTTATTTGTAATCTATAATTGTCAATATCTTGAATACTTTTTGTTATATTTGTGTGAAACTCAAGATCTTCATTATTTTTTTTCCAGTTCAGAAATGCAGACGACGCAAAAAAAGCGTTGGAACAACTGAATGGATTTGAGCTCGCTGGTAGACCTATGAAAGTTGGAAACGTAACGGAACGAACCGACTTGATTCAAGGACCTTCTCTACTCGATACTGATGAGCTAGATCGTAGTGGAATTGATCTCGGAGCGACTGGAAGGTATGTAAAATATAATATAAAAGACTAAAAAAAAAAGAAACAAATTAATATGCGAATTAAGGTCACTTCGTTAAAATTTATTATTTTTGAAGGTTACAATTGATGTTCAAATTGGCGGAAGGTACTGGCCTGGAAATTCCTCCCGCTGCAGCAAACGCTTTAAATATGGCACCAGTAATGGCGCAGCCGCAACCACCACCTCAAGCTGCACCTCCCATTGCGACACAGTGTTTCATGTTATCGAACATGTTTGATCCGCAAAAGTAAGTCACGTGTTACCTCGTATCGAACAGTATTATTTTATGCACTTATTTATGCATAACTTTATGCATTGCATATTTGTAGACCTAGTGTCACGTGTGCTGTACTTTCACTAGGGGGAATATATATGCTAAATAAAAATGTTATCATAATTGATTCATAACATATATGCCAGTTATATGCAAAACTAATGATGACATGACATTCTTATTGTAGAATATCTTTTAAAGCAAGTTAATTATAGTGTATTAATTTCAAACTTGGTAAGAAAAGTATTGCTTGTAGTTACGGGTTATAATTTTCATTGAAATTAATAAGAAATTATATAATTTGTATCGTTATTGTTTCTAGTGAGACGAATCCTAACTGGGCAAAAGAGATCCGCGATGACGTGATCGAGGAATGTAACAAGCATGGGGGCGTTCTGCACGTATATGTGGATCAAGCATCACCGCAGGGCAACGTTTACGTGAAATGCCCGTCGATCGCGACTGCCGTGGCGGCGGTGAACTCGTTGCATGGTCGATGGTTCGCTGGCCGTGTCATAACCGCAGCCTACGTACCGGTGGTGAATTATCACTCGTTATTCCCCGATGCGATGACTGCGTTGCAACTGTTGGTGCCAAGTGCGCCGCGAAGAGGAATGTGATGATCCTGAACGAGCGAGCAAGCAAGCGAGCAACAATCGTCTGCTGATGTGTAAATCCTTGCGTAGTATTGTGTTCTTCTCTCTCTATCTCACATTTTCTTGTTGCTGTCTGGTGAAATCGCATTTTTTATTTGTTGATAAAATGGGGAAAGGAGGCACTCTAAGCAACAGGTTTCAATGATGTCACTCTGATATGTTGTCACTTGTGTCACGCATAAATTCATTGTAGTAGTCTAAACATGCGATAAGTTCGATTCGTTTCACGGCACGTCCATTGTTCGCGTGAGTTTTGATGGCAATCAAAATTTGTGACTGTTGAAGGTTGTTTGACATTTGCATCTGACTTCAAATGTGAATTGAAGGATTTATGGACCCTAAAATATATGATTCTGTGCTACGTTGTATATATATTTATATTATTTCATAATTTTCTATTTAGTTTCCCCTTGTAATATGAAGCAATATAATATAAATACTGATTGTTCTAATTTTTTTGCGATATTATAATACATATAATGCAATTATGAAATTGATGTCTTTTATTTGTAAAGGAGCAAAGGCTGCGATATCGGCGATATGATTTTGAAATTGATTTTTTTTTGCCAAAACCTGCATGAAGATGTATCCATACGCTGAAAAGCGTAAGGACGTCAAAGTTAGATTCAAAGCACTAACAATCAGTAAGATAACTCGCGTAACTTCGTTTTTGAGTAAGGACAATTGTGTTTTTATTTCTTTTAAAATTTACAGACACCTAAATGTTAACGCGATGCGGATATTTCACTTTATATGTCGATGTATTATGTTTCGCAATTGAAATAGCATGTTTTTGAATATTTTAATGAGGTATTCAATCGATCGTTCATAGCAGTTACGTTGAATAAAGAAAAGAAAGGCCTTAATCCTTTCATCCCTAATCTAGTTCACGTATTAAGTTTATATCTACAACGTATAAAAAAAAACCTTAATATTAAAAGAATAAAACATCTTGTCAATTTTGTATCGTTTGATTAATCGATTCTATATAATTCCTGTACTACTTTTTAGTTTATATCCTTCCTAGATTATAATTATTTTTAGTAATATTAAATAGGAAGAGAAAATCCAACTTGAATTTTTTCTCTATATTTTCGACTCATCTAAGAGTATAAAAAATAAAATTTTCACAATAATGCGTTATTACAGGCTTATTTGGGGAAGAAAGGATTAAGGTATTTTAGTGGTTACAAGGGCTTAGTGGCGAGCATTACTTTAGATACATATTAGATTTGTTACATTTATATGGAAGTGGAAGCAAAATGTGATAGAAAAGAGGTCTGCAGGTATTATAAATTTTTCACTCGAATAGTTATTTCACGATAAAGTACTCTTCTACAGTTTAGAATATTGCATTAGAATAAGACACGATTTTAATAAACTATAAATACAATTGTGTTATGTGATCAAGATATATAAAATATACAATCCTTACTATAAAATTTTACTCTTTTCAACACACAACAGAATTTTTAGTATCGGGACAACCTACACCGGATGCCCTGAATATTGCGCCGAAAAATGGACCAATTGAAGTGGATTAATTTTATTTTTAAAGTTGCCGGTAAATCTCATTGCTGAAGTGCTTCTATATTAAAAATATGAGATTCGAAAAAAAAAAAACAGCTAATCAAGTCAGTACGGAATAGATTGATTGATTAAAGAATAAGGTAATTACAAAATTTTGTAATAAACATTCTCATTTGCGTTCGTAGATTTAAACGCAACTGTTTATTAATATAATGCTTTTATATTAAACAGTCGCGTTTAAATCTAGAACTATACAAAAGATATCAGAAGTCCGAGTTTTGAAATAAAACTGACAATTTATTTAATTCGCAAAATATAGGATGTAAATTTTTATGATTAAATTTATCATTGGTTATTGAATAATTTTTATGAAAGTTAAATCAACAACATTATAAATATATCATATACAGTGTTTCATGTAACGTAACAATCACGTAATAATTTTCGAATCTACGGTAGAAAAATATAAATAAAGATATTTTAATTATCGAATATCTAGGAAAGCAAAATAATTTTTTCTATGTTTTTCTACGATATTCTATTGGATTTCTTTGAAACGCTTTGTAACTTAGAACTCAGATAGCTGCAGACTATAGAATTTCTATTCGTCACGCGCAATTGTAGACTGGTAAAATGGTAAAATACAAAAATTCAGATTTTTCTCTTAAAATAGATGTAAAAAGAACTAAAAACAATTTTGTATACTGTAGTAGAAAGTTTGTATTTCAAATTTAAAGTCCCTCGTTATCTGCAGACCTTTAGCCGAGCCGTCGAAGAAAAAAAAACAATCTGTATATAACTTTTTGTAAATTAACTCTATACCTGTAGACATAAGTAACATCATCATTTTACTGTATCTTCGTATTACTGAAATATGAATGTACACTTTGATGAGATAAATGAAATTAATGTGATGCACTTGGAATGAAGGATCTGTTCTAGATTACGAGAACTTGTTGCATTTTTGTGTGGCAATATATTTTTCCTAATCCACAGTATCCCTTATGACTCGTTTCTCATTCTAAAACAAGTTTTTGCTATCTGCCGATTGATATTAATCAATTGAACAAAATGTTATAAATACTACGTAGCATGTAAGGTATCTGTTGCAGGAAATGTAAGTTGTATTTTCTCTATTTGTCGAGATTATATGACTTTCTGATCATGGCATTACAGTGAGATTATAGATATATTAATACGTAATGCTAAAAAAAATCTCTAAATATTGTAACAAAATTTGCTTTTATAAAACCTTAGTTAATATTTGATGCGCAATAATAAATTAATACGAAATTTATTTTTAAATAGTTAAAAACGGGATGAATAATTCAAACATTGTAAAATTATTCAAATCTTGAAATAGCGCTCAAGAATAATAAGTAGCAATGATGGCAATAGAGGTTTTACATTAACGCTTGATGATTATACACTCTTTTGTTGGTATACATTCCCCCATGTGTGCACGGTAGGTTTAATCACTATGTTTGATACGAGATATTAGAGATAGATCTATTTATTAATGTCGAATATTTATTATTCTTTCAATTTTAAATCAGCACATAAAGATATATGATCACTGGGAAACACCACGGATGGTAAACCTGTGTGAAGAGTAAGTTCTTCCTTACTAGGCATTGGGACCACTTGTTCTACTACGAACTTGTCTCTCTCATAAAATATGTAGTCCAGACAGGCAGAGAACTCCGGCGTGTAGTTGGTATATTCCGGCGTGCCGCAAGCACTAAACATGCAAAGATCCTGTTTTAAAGATATATTTTTTATAGCTTCCTCAGCATCTGAAAAAAAGAAACAATTTTTTTTCTCATTTCGCAAGATACAGTCATTTCGATCGCGACACGTTGCATGGCAAGACAAAGAGGGTAACGAAATCAGAAAGAAACGAGTTTTCGTAAACTGATAATATTGAAAGAAAGTCACTCACTACTTTTCCAGTCTTCGCAGGTTTCTGGAACGTAATTCTCAGTCATCAGTTGATAAATGCCGCATTCCGGGACACTGTTAAAGTCTCCGCAAAGTAGCACACTCACGTTACATTCAGGATTCTGTCAACGTACATACGACGATTGTCAATGAATTGTAGTATAAGTAATACAAATTCTTATAACGCGTGAGATAATACGCAAAAGTATCAAAATAACTTTTTCAAATATTTTTCTAGGTGTGAATGTACGAGGTTGGAGAAAGTATTTACCTCTTCTCGAATCCTTTTCGCGATATCGTGTATATATGTAACAGCATAAAATCCTTGCAACAAACGTATATGATCCGAATCAGGTTTAAAGTATAAATGTGTGTTGCCGATAATCAAGATCTCAGATCGGTTCTCTTTTGATCGTAACGTCGTCACCTAAATCATTGCTAACTTTTATCTGATGAGTATGATAATATCTATTTAAGATCTCAATTGTATCATACGCGATTACCTGAATGGTTGTATTTCTAGCCAAAAATCTTTCCTTCATCTTGTCATTGTCGATTTTGGACCAGATGGCAGCAAATTTAGGAAGATCAACGTTTTGAGCCATTATGCTGTATTCGAATCTTAATTTCTCAAATCTATCCTGATTGAAAAATGTGGCGAGTCCTTCGCTAATTTCATTTTTCGTAACAAACACGCCATCGTAATTCAGCATGTACAGAGAAGGTAACAAATCATATTCGTATATACTTCTATCTACTTCTTGCAAACAAATTATATCGCCATTAAAACCTACAATAAAATCATCGTATTAAAAAGTGACAAAAATGATTATAAACTTGCTATATATTGCTTGACTCAATAATCTAAAAATTCTAAAACACTGTTTTTAATATTAAAGACTTTGGAAAGAATCGGTTTCGTGAATTAATAATAATTTAACTATTCATTTATATAAATAAACTATCAGATATGCTAAACTTCTTCTATATATAAAGAAAATTATTCAAAATATATTTTACGTTTCTAATAAAATTATTTAAATAGCTTGGATAAATTATATTTATCACTCACCTATTATTTCTTTAAGTACCAATTGCTTTCTGTAGTCCATGTCTAAAGCATATTGTGGACAGTATGGAAACAATACATCCTTAGAAAAATCAGAATCGGCATACGTATCTGCCAGTATATTATAACTTATTATCCTGAAACTATAATTTTCCTTCTTGAAGATACAGATGGCAAATAAAATGTATATGTTTAATACAACATCGTTATATTATAAATAATATAGATCTTTCTAATACTTTATTCATCGTATTCATTTTGAGTATCATACCTTCTGCCTGATAATTTATGTTTTGTGAACTGATGTCGAATGTCGGATGGGCATTGTCCAGGTCCGGCTTCCACGACATTCTTCGACTCTACTTCCATCCTAGAGCCAGAATCCGATTCGTTTCGCGGTTCACAGTTAACTTTCAAATGGCAGCCAATGTCGGTCACGTTGGGTACGTATAAATATCCATTGCTTATGTGTGTCCACAAATTCGGCTTATTGTTAATAGAATCGTTTTTGTACCAGTCGAAAGTCGATTTCTTTATGTCAGTGTACAGTGACTCCAACTTGGATGGATAAGTTGGAAAACCTGCCAATATGCTCGATGGTAATGACATTCTGATGATGTAAGGCGAATTTCGCTTTACCAAGAAAGTCTTCTCAAAAATGATCAGTTTTAGCTCTGCGGAATCCTGTAGAAGGCTTTGGCATAATGTATCGCCATCGACTTTGACATCATTCTTGAGAAGCATGATCTTCCCAGTCTTCACATTATCGTTTGACAAATCTGGCATCTCCACAGCAGCAGCATTTTTCTTCCTTTTTCTCTCTATCTAAAGAAATAAACCTCTTGTTCCTCAACTAGATATTTTTTTATTCTATATACTATATTTCATTTTAAATACCCCTATCCCTAGAAATATTTCTACTGATTTTGATGCATTTTTTCACAAGTTGTAAAAAATTCTATTTTATATTCGTAAAGTTTTTTTTCTTTTAGAAAAATCCTTCTTCTTGGTTACAGTATATACTCAATATGTTCTATCCGTTATAAAATAATACTGTAATTCTATAATATAATGATAATTGAGAATTGGACAATAAAAAAAAAGAGGAAAAAAGAAGGGCATTCGTTTCTCTCACCTTTTTGTTTACAAATTTGCAAACATTTGTGTCGATCCTTTTGAGGAAATTGTTCACGCTTTCCGCGGCCTGCCTGGAAAAGTTGAACTGACGGTCGACCTTCGTCGCCTCGTCCACATAACGAAACGAGATGTCGAACAGGTCATTGCCTTTCTCGTAGCGGAGAAATGCCTCGTTCATCCTCAGCGTGCGTTTCGGTAGACAGTGCTTACTGCGATACGGCGTGAGGACCGGTGAAATTAGGTGTATTCTGTGCGCGAATAATTTAGCGAATGTATTTCGCATTATAATCGATCGCGGTTCATTCAGCCTGGATGTATTTTAGATCTTCAGACGGGCGGAATTGGTTAACTAGAAAAAAAAAATGTTAATTTAATTAAATGTCTAAAAAATTTATTACATGTAATCATCGTGCACATGGTAGATATTCAGGAAAACCCGTTGGAGGTTATAAATACCTTCGCGGTATTCTCTTGCTACTGCTCCAGTGTGCTCCAGCTCTCTAGTACTTCTGCATACTTTTGTATTGTGTGATAGGCTTTAGTTACTAGTGAAGTGTACTAGGGATTATGCAGTTGAAACGAATATGTCTAATTTCCTAGCGCCACTTTGGCGCATATGCGTTAACTAGCGGAACTAAAATATTGAATCGAACCTTTCGTATGCTGCTGATGGTGCTCCGGAACACTTCTGCTGAAAGCACAGAATGCGCGCATTTTCACACGACACATCGAAGGAAATGTTCGTATAGTATCATTGAGAAAAATCGATTAGGGACGAACTTCATCGTTTGGATAATTCGCGTGTGAAATTGACCGATCCACGGAACTTGGTTCGCCATGGACAGGAGAAAAATGTCGTAAGTAGAAAATATGTCGCGACATTGAAGACGCCCAACGCTGCGACTATGCGCTGTCATCTACCTTTTTGCACACCTTATTGGTTTTAACAGGCACGATTGCTCTGTCAAACTGTTCAATTAATTAATCATCGATATACCTGTTTCTTTTGAAAACGGATTAATTAACGATGACATCTCGAAATAACCCTCATGACTTTTTTTCTTTATCTTCTCGCCGGTTGATATCCACGTATCTACTTGCGTAAAATATATAGAGATTTTATAGATATAAAGAGATAACGTACATTGCTTAGGCGTAATAGAAATTCACGCAAAAATCTTCAAGAGCACACGTTACAGCACGAAATATCCGAATATAAAGGTGTTTCGTAAATCTCTGTCTAATTGAACATTTCATAGGTTATTCTGTAATATTTGCGATATTTTTGTACGACAATCTTATAATTCTGTGTCATGATTCTTACGCTTTTTAACATTATTTTCTTCCTATTCACCTTATCAACCGTTATTTATATTCAGAATAATACTCGTTGTAACGTAAATGTAAAAATACAAATAATTTTGAACAGTAGTCTGAAATTATTTAAAGCCATTTTGAATCTAATAAGGAAAATGTAGCGGCGTACTGGCAGTTTTTTTTTCCAACAGATTGGAGTAAAATATTACAGTCAATACCATTAACTGAGTCCGCATTAATTGCATTTTTGTTACTATTAATAGAAATTAAACAGAATCTCATTAGTTTATCCATTTAAACAGAATAGATCATTTAAATAGTTACAAACTGACAGATTCTGTATGGTTGCTGCAATAAATGTGTCGTCATATTTCGCTAGCAGATTCTATTATCTTTCTGCTATTAATATATTGTCAATAAAATGTATAACAGATACTTAGCAAAATCTGTTTCTGACTGATTTGCCTATCTAAGAAGTTGTCGATTTCAGATCCCTGCTTTCCGCAATATTAATGATATAGATGAATAGTTTTGTAATACTGATTAACGATAGATCGATCGTGTTACGCAACTTAACTTATTAAAGATTTCTCGATTAATTTCTTCACTTATGTCTATTTATTCTTCAGTACAGCAGGGGATTCCCTCTATCAGACTTTAGAAGTTCCGAAAACCGCTACTTCAGAAGAAATTAAAAAGACGTATAGAAAACTGGCCCTGAAATATCATCCTGACAAAAATCCTAACAATCCAGAGGCAGCTGAAAAGGTTACTTTAATTTATAATTTATAATGTTTCTAAAAATGATTAATTTTTATAACTTGAATAGCATATAACTCTTTAAGCTTTCTTGAGAAAGAAATGTTTTACGAACTCAAATATATTGCGCAAATGTTTTTCTTTCTCTCATAGTTTTTTTTACACAATATTGATAACTTTTATTTATATCTCTTACAAAAATATAATATCTTGTAATTGAATATTTACAGTTTAAAGAAATAAATAGGGCGCACGCTATACTGACAGATCTAACGAAACGTAATATATATGATAACTATGGATCTCTTGGTTTATACGTCGCAGAGCAATTTGGAGAAGAAAATGTTAACGCCTATTTTGTTGTTACCTCTGGATGGTGCAAGGTAAAAGCATAAATTACTTTGACCGATGTTTTTCTAAAACATTTTTTGTGACATAAGAATAGTTATATTTTATGTTCAATATTTAAATAAATAAATAAATAAATATATATATATATATATATATATATGTATATATATATATATATGTATATTCATATTTATTTAAGCAGTTTATTTGTAACTTATATATATTTTTAAATAAATATGTAAAATATTAAGTGCATGAAGCAATCCAACATTTAAGATAATTATTGTAAATACATTTTTTTATATACTATGCCAATCTCATTGAAAAACTGATATATTTTTAACTTTAATAAATAAATATTGACACTATAGTCTAAGAATATTGGTTTTTTTTTTACAGGCACTGTTCATAATTTGTGGACTAATTACTGGTTGTTATTGTTGCTGCTGTTGTTGCTGCTGTTGCTATTTCTGTTGCGGTAAATGCAAACCAGCTCCTCCTGAAGATAGCGGTGCATATCATAATTTACAGGTAAAAATGTTTACATTCTCATTATTTTTTTGTGATAAGCGCCCATTCTACAATAGCCGTAAAAGTATGCATTAAGACGTAAGCAGTAAAAATTGACCAACTACAGTCGATTATTCTTGGATTGTAAAAATTCCATTAGTCAATAGCTTACTGCTTACGTCTTAACACATACTTTTACGGCTATTGTAGAATGGGCTATAGATTTTGTACAAATATTAAAACTAAGCAGATATGAAAAAGTCAAATACATAATATACGTAACAATATATTATATGAATAAACAGTAGAAAAAAAAGAGGTTAACATTAGCAAATGTAAAAGAGTAATGTAAGCATAAGAAAATTTTTATCTATTGCCATACCAAGCCGACTCAAGAACTTTCTATTTTTCTTCTTATTTCTATTGGCTTTTTGAAAATTCATTATTACCAATCTTTGATATCCTAACTAATTCTAAACTTGAATCATACTATCCAAAAATATATGTACTTTAGCAACCTTTGATATGATTATATGCAAATTATGAGAAAAGTTACGTATTATGTTTCTACTTTTTTTTCGTAATTTTTTCCATATGCAACCTCTGGTATTACTTCCTTTTACATACATCTTTCTTTGACACTCCTGTTCTCTTTTGTTGCCTAGTAGTATAAGAAATTAGGCAAAGATATAACGACACGTTATAATATACTACATATTATACCCACTTGGAATTAGATTTTAAATTTAACTTGCCCTCGTACAGTGCATGTTACATGTATAATAATAAAAGCTTGACTTTTATGCAGTCAATTAATACATTGCTAAAATGTTTATAATCTACGCTGCATGAAAAAGTAAACGGTTACTTCTACACTATAACTTACACGGAAAAATATCTGTTGTCCTGACTATAGATTTAGCTTGTAGTCCATTAATCACTGCTATAATTTTTTAAACCTTCCGTTTACTATTATTGAAGAGAGAGCTAATGTTTCAAATATCCATTCTTTCTCTGTCAACTCCATGAATTCTTTGACGTGAATTTAGATCTTTTTTGTATATGACCAATAGAATGTAATTTCTTTTCCGATATATTATAAAAATTAATATAATACATCTTAAAGAAAAAAAAAAAAGATTTTGGATGTAATATTAAGGAAATAAGCATTGATATCTACACTTTTTCCCTGCTTTAAAATATTCTATTGACAGTTACTTTAAGGCAAAAAATTATCAATATGCTGTCATTGAGATCTCAGCCGTAGCATCTTTAATCTTATCTTTAATTAGTCGACAGAAGACACTATCTGTTTAGTGAGTTATCTTAAATTAGGCCTGTCCAAGTTTTTGCTCGCAAAACGTTTCCCTGTCTCGCTGAGCGAAATGGAGACGCAGCAATTAAGAAACAGAAGTTAATATTAATCATAAATTATCGTGTGGAGGCGTCGTATCATGCACTAATTGTAAGATCGGTTAGTTGCATTGGTAGAAAGACTTACGATGACGTGAACGATTGCAGGTATAGGCATAACAGATTCTCTCGTTCAATGAACTTGGACAGGCTTGTTATAAATCCTGTACTATATAACAATGAACATCTAAACTCAGCAATACAATTAAATGCCATTAATATTAATCTAACTAAATGCAATACACACACGTAGACACAAATATATGGCTGAAATGGAAAAATATTGAGATATAAGCTTTAAACTCTCTTTTATAATTTATGCATAAATTTCTGGCACATAGTTGGAAAGCATGTCAGCGAGGAAAGAATATCTTAGTAAATATCTAATTGTGAAAACAAGCGATTTAAGGAGTTCATGCAACTTACATATGATCGACGTATGCAAAAAAGTTTGTATTCATCTAAAAATTGCAAGTATTGTATTTGTTATCTTTTTATAAACACTATAAACGCTTTATATCAACTTAGCACAGCTCTTGAAAGTTTTAGCTATAAAAACTTAATTTTTAATATTAGGCACACCCGCACGCACGCACAGAAGGGGATGTTTCTGAACTAGTAGTACAATCAAAAAAGTTTCTTCATGAAAAAATGTAGAATAAAATCTTGTAAAATGCTTTATTGTTTATAAAAATAACTTTAAGCATAGAGAAATGAATGACATATCTACGCTTTTGTGATCTTGATAAATGACAATTTGCTTTGACTTATGGACTTTATACACCAGCGAGTAGTCTCATTCGCGGCTATCGGAAATATGTGTTAAAAGATACAACGTTCTATTGAAGAAATAAAGGTAATTTTATACATAACTTTTCTTGTAATTTAAATTACTTTATTTAAATTTCTTTAGTAAATATTTTTCTACATTTTTTCACAAAGAATCATTCCCTTTTCCGTTATATCATGATTATACGTATGTACATGCAAACATGAGCCCGGCTTTATACACATTGATAGTTGTCTCTATATATTCGTATCGACACACAACTGAAATAAGACATTGTTCTTATAGATGGCGTCAAACGAAATTTCTTGCGCTTTTTAATTAAAAATATTTTTTGCATACAAGAATACATACATCTAATTGCATTATTGTTGCTAGTTTTAATTCATCTCTTCTTTTCGTATAGAATTATCTATTTATTCAACAAATTCAATATAGATCGCTGTATATCTGTTACTTGAAATAGCAACTAAAAGTGCATGAATCCTTGTTGTCACGCATGTTAATTTATGTTTCGTTTTACAGAAAGTCTTACATAGTTTAGCGGTTTTGTTTATGTTATTATTGTATTATAGCGGAACCTGAATCCAGAGGCTGTTGTGACAAATCAACCGCGAGGTTTTGGCAAGGTAAGTTTTCATAATGCTCGAGATTTGAGTTACCTTTCTTTTTTTTGCTATAGTTAATCGTAAATAATGCTTTCTATTTTTGTTGTTGTTCGAATATTATGTCTGAACGATTTCGCACAGATCTTGCGCAAAGCACAATAGTAGTTTCCTTAATCATATTTTTTCATAATATTCACGCGCACTGCTATTTTTCTTTAATAAACCATGTAAAAAATGAATTATTGTAGCGCCCATTCCGCACAAATGCATGATGTATCTGTAGTTATTGTACATGGCAATTTCTTAGATGGATTTATTGTTAATAAATTTTATTTTATATATATACATAATTGCGCGTGATTGGTGATTTGTATAATTTTTTTCATCAGAATTATTAACATTTTTAACCGTTATTTAATCTTTTTAATACGTAAAGATCTGAATCTCTTGCAAAACGTAAAATTTCTCATTCTGTCAATAAAGTGTCGATATATCTTGCATTTATTTTTGTTTCAATAATGCATCTTCCTTACTATTCGAGATCAAGAAATTATATCACATATTATTCATGAAAAAAAACCAAACGAGATATTTTATCCCAAACATAAAGGATCCCGCACAAAACCAATGAAAAAGTAGCCCCAGTCAAATTGGCTGAAGTTTTGAAATAAAAAAGCCCCATTTTCAAAACTTTGCAACACGTCTGAAGGTCCTTCTGATATGTATCAGACAGTTTTAGGATGGTCAGGATGTTTGAAGATATACATGCATTTATTGGGATTTTTAATTCATGAACCATCATCGTCGATTTCAACACTTTGAGACCAAGTATCTCGGAAACTGTTTATTTTCTGAATTTGCAGCCCGTGAGACTTTTGATCAGGTCAGTCTGTACTTCATACTAAAACTTCAGCCAATTTGACTGGGGCCACTTTTCCATTGGTTTTGTGCGGGGTCCTTTATTAGAAAACACAGAGAGAGAGACAGAATGCGAACAAATGCCTCCAAATGAGAAAATTTTGAGGACCGTTTACAATAGCCGTAAGAGTACGCAGTAAGACGTAAGCAGTAAGCTATTGACTAATGGGATTTTTACAATTTAAGAATAATCGACTGTGATTGATCAATAGCTTACAGCTTACGTCTTACTGCATACTCTTTATACGGCTATTGTAGACGGTCCTTAAAATAGATACATGTTGCTTTCTCTGTCTTTCTTTCATACTGTCCATTTCTTCAACTCTAGGATCAAGTTTTACTAGTTTCAAAGTTTTAAATTAATAAAATTGATGAAATCTATATTTTTTTAATTGTGAAATCCATTTCCTTATTACAATCCTCTCACAAATATACCTCAAACATGTCACTCAAGCAAATACAGTTAAAATTATAAAAAGTAATTATGATGTAAAGGTTGACTTGGTATGAATATAAAAATGAAAAATACTGCACAGATAGAAATAAAATTATTCAAAAATCGAAATAATATTTAAAGATGTAAAATATCATATCTATGTATAAAAACAAAATTAGAGAAAAATTTCACAGAATGTCAATTTAAATGATTTCAGATATAAAATTCTTTATTCTTTATTGTACAATTATAAAAAAAGAAAAACGAGAAATGTTATTATTTCTCGCAAGATAAAAAAATGAATAATAAATTCTTATTATTTGTGCAACTAAAAATGTATATTTCAAATTAATTAATCATTAAAGTATATTTCAAACAGCTAATTTTCTACAAATAAATGGTCTAATGAGAGATATTATATTTTTCAAAATGTACTTTCACAGGAAGATGAAAGCGATGATGATGCTGTGACAGCTCAACCTCAAAGTGGTGGATCACAAAATACATCTAATACACAGCAACCAATATTTGCCATGCCTGCACCAGGATCAGCGGCACCAACGTCGACGGCTAACGAAAGCACGAACCTAAACAGCGGCGGTGAACGTGTGATTTATACCACTGGTATTACAAGTTCTTGAACATAGTAGCGAGTGCATATTACAAGTTTTATCTTTTGCATATTGTCATTGATCATCCAATTCACGTTTCTCGTCCAAATTCATTCATTCAATTTCTTCTCGCCCACTCTTTTTGTTAATTAATATATTTTATCACTTTTTCACATCGATAGCGATTTTAGTACACTGACTGACAGGTGTGCCTGGACATTTCGAATATTTCGATATCGATGTCAAATATATATATATACATATGTTCCGTATATATGTATATGTGTCCCAGCATTCCTGTCGGTGAGTATGCATTGAAGAAGACATTAACAAAGATGCTAAAGCAATTTTTTTTAAATTATGCCAATGTTTCTTATATAATTAAGAGATGGTTACTTAAAATTCAATTATAAATATAGATTTATTGCTTAAAAATGTATATAAAATTTGGCGATAATTATAGATAAGCAGCATCCTTCCTTAGTTATTTTTTTCATATAGAGCAAAATTACCCACATTGGGTTTCAATCGCAGATAGAAATGATTAAAACTGTACTAAAAAAAATAATACGTGCTTCCACGCATCAAGCGGAGATCTCTGTTCTTAATAACAAGAAAGTAAAATGAGAAAAGAAAATGAGAAAACACAAACTTTTTTTTCCATTGAAATATAATATTAAATATTTTATGAGAGTTTTGTACTTGCCGATACGTACTTTCTTCATATAATTCGTGTAGTAAACAAAAACATATGAATATACACTTTTATTAGCTAATTTACAATGAATATTACATAATTGTATACACAGAAGTATATATGTACAACGTAAATATACATATCGAAAAAAACAGGGATACGCTTAATGATAACACATTCGTAATCCCTAAACTACAAAATGAATATACAAAGAAAGAATATATATATGTATATATATATATATATATATATATATATATATATATATTCGCTAGGAAAAATCGACTCTAAATTAGTCAGGAAATCAATAAAAAGAAATCTCTGATATTTCAATACCTTCAATACAATAGACATGTCTTTTTAATGACAAATTTACTTTCTTTCATTCATGGCAAAAATGCCAAGAGATGTCATCATTTATTGCAGTTTTTCAATTTTTTTGTATCATTCATCTTTGAAACTACGTCTTAAATTTTCTTTTAAAGTAAATTCAGTCTAAAATTAATAAAAGAATATATCTTCCTTACAACTTATTCAGTCTTGTCTTCTTCGACATATATGTTCCTTTTCGGTTGATACACCATTCCCAACACCGTTTTTTCTTCTGGAAACAATCCTGGTACACGTTTTTTGGAATAGTGCGTAAGTTCGTCTGCGAATTTTCCTTGATGTCTTCAATTGTGTTGAATCTTCGGTCTTTCAATGTGAATTTTAGTTTTGGAAAAAAGGATAAAGTCTGCGAGAACCAGGTCATGAGATTCGAGAGGCTGAGGAAACACAGTCATCTTTGTTTTGGTGCAGAAGTGACGAATCAGCAGCGATGGATCTGTGAGCACGTTGTCGTGATGAGGGAGCCATAAATTGTCTTTATTGTAGAGTTCAGGCTCTAACATTTTCTGGACCTGGCTCTTGCAAATTTTTTTTTAAAACGAAATCCATGTTGAAAGAATTCAACACTGAAAGATATTTCTAAAGGAAAATTTGCAGACGGGCTTGCGCGCGATTCCGAGAAACACGTATCAGGATTACTTCCAGAAATGGAAACGGTGTTGGAAGTGGTGTATCAACAGGAAAAGGAACATATTTTTTGAAAAGGACAAGAAACTGAATAAGTTGTATGTAAACTCCCAAAAATTGAAGACAAAGTTCGGAACAGACCTCGTGTGTATATACAGGATGTATCGAAAGGTAAGATCAGCCAACTAGGAGGTAAAAGAAGAGAAGAATAATACATATCGCAATATTCCTCGTTGCTAAATATGTTTTAAACACTGAGCGCGTAATGTTGTGATCCAATTAATTGTGTTTACCGCGTCCATAATCTGTCCATATCTGCTGTCGTCATATTTCTGTGTTTCATTTAAAAGAGGACTGTGTTCACTACAACAAACAATACTAAAAGAAAAAGTGGAGAAGTGAACCAAGTACTCGTATACAGGAAATTACATACATCGCGATCACAGAAAGAAAACATGTTTAGCAACGAGGATTATCCCGATATGTATTATCTTTATGGTAGCAATGCTGCTGCAGTTGAGAGAGAATATCAGATACAATTATCACGACGAAGACATCTTAATAGGTTTGTTTGAAGCTTTACATCGAAGAATGGAAGAGACAGGATGAAAGATATGTTTATATTGCAAATGTAAAATCTAACATACTATACGTATGAAGTGCTATATTTACTAAACCATAGCGAATACGACAAAAGTTTATATATATTTTTTATTCTACTCAGGCTTCTCTTTCACTTCCTAGTTGGTTGACCTTACCTTTCGATACACTCTGTGTATACATATATACATATATATATATATATATATATAACTATTTATATCTATATAAAGATAGATAGATAGATAGATTCATTGAATGATTAACTGATTGATTGATGGTTGATTGATTGATCGGTGTATATACATATAAATTATAAATAATATAGTTTTATGCTATATTATTATCATGCACATCTCACACATCCTTCTTTGCACTTTTACGCATTTCGATGTTTCAAATATTACAATATTCAGATTCAATAACTTATGGTATGATTTTCCAATCATGATTATATTTTATAACATTTATTTTAAGAAAATTTACTGGAATTATTTTAGTTCGCAATTTGTATGTTTGGGTAAATGTGTAATTCATATGAATCATATTATTTTGTTATAGACAAATATACACTACGTGATTGCACGCTATAATTTTCTTATTATTATTTCCAGTCCTTCATTCTTATTTTTACTATCAGTAAAATTTTCATAATATGCGTATTTTTGGTGTTTAATATCTTTCTAATGAAACAAGTTTGATGAGACAAAAATTTGAATGATTAGAAATTTCATAAAAATGCGCGCGCGTGCGTGTATGTAGAGGCTATATACAGAGTGTCTTATTTTAATCGATCACTCCAAAAACTTTTTTATTTGTGATTCTAAAAAAAAAAACAACTTTCGTCTGAAGCATTTTTTTTCTAGAATCACAAATAAAAAAATTTTCGGGGGTGATCGATTAAAATGGGACACACCCTGTATCCAACTTTTGATAACAAGTAGCAAAAAATCGCATTTAAAATGTGTATCGAGACGACACCTGATGCACAGGTATTTTAATCACTATAAAGAACGCAAATTTATTCCTAAGAAATTATAATCAAACTTAATTATAATCAACACGCATACCAAATTTTTCTTAAAGTAATACGATCCTCTGTATCTCAACATTTTACTTCATATGAATTTATTATTTCTTTTTTATTTACTTTTAAACGTTAAAAATAGACCAAGATACAAATCATTATTTAATCGTATAATCTTATGTTACTTTATTCTCTTTGTTTATCTGCCCCGCTTATAAAAGCCAAGTTTTTATTTAAAAAAACTAGATATTGCATTTGCGAGAGAAAAAATAAAAACGAGGAGTGTTCAAATATAAATGATAATTTGATTGTTTACAAAGAAAGCGAAAACAACATACAAGTTTCAGATACCTTATTTTTCAAGGTAGCTGTCTCCTTCCTTTTTGCAATGTAACTGCGCCATCGCACATCGGTCCGACAACTTCCGTATTCCGCGTAAAAAAAATCTTTTGGCTATTACGGATGGCTGTCAAAACAGCCTAATAACTCTTTCAATGGTCCAAAGAGATGGAAATTCGATAGGATCCGAAAGTTTTTAAAACGGACGTTTTTAGGACACCTGTAATGAGGAAGTCATCGCACCTGTTCGAGAGAGAATGCGCCCGCAGCTAAAAGATTTTTTTGACGCGGAATAAATTATCGGACCGATAACGCAGCTGCATTGCAAAAGAGAAAGACTACCTTGAAAAGTGAAGTAACTGAAACCTATGTGTTGTTTTTGAAGTTTTTCCCCTTATTTTAGTCACACCCTATATGTACAGGGTGATTCAGAAATACTTGTACAACTTTGGGGGCTGAGTTCTCCAACACATGAACAAGAAAAAAATATTATAATGGAAATATAATTTTATTTTTTAAGTACATGCTGATGATAGTGAAATGAATAAAAAATAGTTTTTTTTAAATATATCTCCTTCTGCCATTTTATCACTAATATAATATTTTTATGTAGCGGCTGCCACAAATCCATTCATAGGAGCCAATGCAGCTACAAGTGACACGGGACCAACCAGATGGTAGACTGAATACGTGAAAAATCCATCATAAACATTAAATTCATATTTATAGTGCCGGATCTCTACAATAGCTCATTAACATAGATCATAAATTGATTGTCTTGATAAAATAGACGGTGATCGGTTTAGCATTATAACTTTTCCTCCTTTTCGTTTTTTGTATATACAGTCTGTATATTATTCTGTAAATCATTATTACGTTATATTTATTTAAATGGTCTCGATATAGGTATGTATCGCTCATTTGCTACAACGACATAACACAAAAATTATCATTTTCGAATTGTTTGCAACAAATCAAACAAGTCCTTGGATCTTTAAATGAAGAGCTAATGATATTTTTATTCCCCTACAATCAGGTATTACATTAAAGTCGCATTTAAAAATAATATTACAATGTTCGAACTCATTTTCTGAAAAACTTTGATGTTGAATTATGTCCTTAATTGTTGCAGCAAATGAGCGACATTCTCTCCTACGTAATTTAACACAGTGATCTTCCATTATACAGGAACCTATACTATTTTACAATTTTCTTATACATCAAGGTATGCATTATACTTAAACTTTCCCAATTTGAAAAGTATTATTTTTTTTTATGTTTTGTGTGTTCCTATAATAAAATTTTTAAAAGATTAGCACATATGAGCGAAAAGTAAAATAAGATGAAGCCTTGATAAAAAATATGAATTCTTATACTAATTGTAAAACGTAAAATTACTCAGTAATATATAACGAAAGATAATGTTTTTCTTCTCTCTAGAATGTTTGCACATAGTTATTGATATCTTGTGATCCACCCACCCGTCTCCAGTTAAGTTCTTGAGATAATGTAATATTTGACTATAATATACTATATAATTGTATAATTGACTATATAATTATACATAATGTAGAAAACGTAAGTCATTCATCATTTTTTAATAAATTTTAAGTCAGCTATTCGTTGGAAGCCTAATTACAAAGTTGTGTAACGTTTAACACCTGTCTAGAACCTAATTAATAAACTCCTGCTTTTTAACTTTCTAAAGATTAAGCATGCTCTTCTTTAATGAAAATTTAATCTTGATCGTGATGATCGACATATATTTATTATTAAATTTAAGAAAGAGACGCACTTCTAAGAAAGAATTGACTCAAATTTATTTTAAAAAATATCGTACATTTGTATGTTTATTTATATTGATCCCACATTTGCAATGCGTATTTTGGTAATTGTTAATAACAGTAAAAAATTCGCGTGTGAATAATTTTTATGAATACGTGTATGACTATTAGATGGAGATGAAAAGATTAGAACGTGTCTTGATGTAATGTATTCTATAACATCTTTTAGAAGGTACAAGGCGCGAAGTTTAGACGTAACTTTTTCTAAAAATATAATGTCATGTAATGTATTTGTCGGTTAATCTAAATTTTCACGTTACGCACTTGGACACACGCATCGATTAAATAATACTGCATGTTTGTAATAAGATTTCTTTAATTATAGATATTTATCTGTATTGTCCAAATGTGTGATCGTAAATATTGTCAACGTGCAAAAATACTTTCAAGTTCCAACAATGTAAAACACAATATGAACATATTACATACAGTCGTGATGAATAATAATCGTATGTAATTTACATTATTACCTAAAAGTGTGAGATAAATCGACTGAACGTAATATACGAAAATTGCCTGAATTTTTTATAAGATCGATATGCTCGAAGAAATCTAGGAAAGATTTTTTTGAAACTTATTTCAAAAAATTGTTTAATTTTTTGTTTTACCAAATTCACTGTAGTTCCAATATATTGAATAATGATATCGAAAACGAGAAATTACATTAATTCTTTTTTCATACTATAAATTCATACTATAAATTGATTGATAAAATGTATTTCCTTCTTTTATTATCTTACATTAGTAAATATAATTAGTAAATATAATAACAAACATAGAATTCAGTTTATACTCATTGTCAGTATTTTATCCCAAGACGTCTTTTAGACGTCTTATGTCCCGCTTTTGGACATGGTGGCATGGTGCTGTCTGGGTTGTTTCCAGCGAAAACAATTCGCGTGACAGTTGGAGATTTAAAATTATTTATTAGCCCGTGATTAGCCGAAAAAAGGTGTCTTCGATATATCTTAATGGATATCTCGCGACCCATCTGTACTATCAAACACGAAAAATATGCAAAAAAATAAACATACAATAAGAAAGAATTCGACATAGCTGTGATGAGAGATCAGGAGCCTTAATCACAATTGTTTCAAGCAATAGTGTTGAATTTATACCAAATAATTACACAACACATTACAATTTATATTACAATACTTTAATTTATAAAACGGTAGCTTTCAATCAAACTTTATTTCTTAGTAAGTGTATATTTATTTATTTATTTGTGACTTATTTATTCCTCGCTAATGTGTACCCTTGTATCAATTTCAAAAGTACGGAATGTTTTCAGTAAAATAAGTATTATATATATATAAATATACATGAGAAGAGAGATTGAAAGAGAAAGTTTAATTGAAAAATCTGCATATATATTCGTTCAGTTACCTGTTTCGATAATGTCATCAATAACACTCGCGTAACCAAGTTCTCTGCATATTTAGATATAATTACGTTTATTGCATAGCATGCTTCTATTTAATATAGTATTCGAATATACTATGTTTGCATAATGGATGTATGTTATAATATATTATACATACCAAGATTTAATTATTGTAACTAAAAATAATGTTGTACCTAAAATAAAAGAAGCAAGGAATTATTGTAAAGCCAGCATTGTACAAGAAATGTAAATAAATTAGATTGGATCAATAAACATACTAATATGTATAATTTTTCGAATTTTTCTTGTACTTCTTTTTTCTAATTTCAAGATTTGGTAAAACTTTAGAGATATTCATTAAAATGAGTAAAAAAAAATCGCGGTGATAAATCATTGAAGTAAACCCTATACATAATATGACTTTGATGCAAAATACACGCGAATTACTTTCTTTTCTTTCTCAACTTCTTCCTTTCCTTTTCTATCCCAGAAAATCTTGCGCCACCAACGTTGAATAATCCTCGCGGAGTGTGCTTGTTCGAACAAAGCTAAAGATTTATAGAAATATGTTATTCCAGTTTTCTCTTTCCGTTTAATAAAAACAAGGTATGCTTCCTCTTGCCGTTTCATCTCTTTCTGCAATGAAGTTAAATTGCTGCGCCAATACACTTTTTCTGCTCGTCGCGTCTGCATATGCGCCGCGCGCGCGCGTAAAATGCATGAATTATACAGAAAAATATCACCTCTAAATCGTGTTTCTCCAGCTCGTTATATTTGTATACCTCGCTAAGCTCTTCCAACGTTTTACATCTACTGCCAATTTCTGTATCGTACTTAATCATTATTGCCAATAACTTTGATTCGGTCGTCAATCTATATGTAATAATGCGGGCGTGATTACAAATTACATAAATGCATACATATACAGAGTGTTCCCAGGTTAAACGGCCAACTTGAAATATGAATTGAGGATCTCAAAACAAAAAAAATTTTCCTCTGGAGGTATGCTCGCAAACATCGTTTAAGTTCAAGTAAAACGAACTTTGTTTAAGAGATATTGACTTCTGAAGTTTTATACAGAATGAAAAAATACAGAAAACAGGATACTATTAAGAATGAATAATTTCGAAATAATGTAGATTTATCCTCTTTACTGCTTTACAGTAATCAAAATTAGAATAATATTAAACGATAGAATAATATTAAAACTACTCCAACCGGAGCTGTGTTTCAAGTCTGACAAATTTAGTCGGCGCGCAGTCAAGTTTGGAAAATATATAAAATAAGAATAAAAACTTTCGCGCATCATTTACCGCGCTTGGTTCTTAGTTAGCCCGTTTTCTGTATTCATAGAATAATGTTATTCTTTTTATTGCTTAACATAGTAATTAAAATTAAAATAATTATTCTCTTAACTGGTTTACAGTAATCAAAATTTAAATATCAAATATTTTGTTCAAAATGATTTAAAACACGTCAATAGATTTTTCGTATGGGGTGTTCTCGAGCAAAAAGTTTATAAAATGCCTGTTAATAAGTGCCTTCAATCGGTAGATAGTGCAAGCGTGTAAAGAAATAATAACAGACGCACAATTTCAGTCAGCCGCTCGTTCTCTCATTCATATAGATGCAACGCTTGTCTCCAAGTTGGAGGAAGTCATCATTTTGAACAAAATATTTAATACTTACTACAATTTTGATTACTCGATCTGTAAAGCAGTAAAGAGAATAATTATTTTAATTTTGATTAGTGCCCGTCTACAATAGGTGTTTTAAGCCCTAAGCCTTAAGAAATTGACCAATCAGTCAATTATTCTCCTCAAATTCAACTGTGATTGAACAATTTCTTAAGGCTTAGGGCTTAAAACACCTATTGTAGACTGGGACTTACTGTTAAGCAGCAAAGAGAATAATTATAATTTAATTTTGATTACTGAAAATTTCGATTAATTACTGTTTAGTAGTAATCAAAAGAGAATAGATGTTTTAATTTTGACTACGATAAATTTTGATCACTGCTTAGCAGTAAAGAGAATAAAGTTACATTTATTATTTTAAAATTATTCATTCCTAATAGTTCTGTAACTTCAGAAATCAATATCTCTTAAACGAAACACGTTTGCGAGTAGCATACCCCTCCAGAGGAATTTTTTTGTTTTGAGGTCCTAAATCCTTTCATATTTCAAATTTATTCGTTTAACACCTTGTATAATAAAGAAATATGTTTAATTTATAAATTTAATGCGCACATACTTTCGCTTACGGATTGTTTCTTCTAATTTCGTATTTACGTCTTTTAAGAACTCGAGATCATCGGTAACATTTCCCAATGCTACCTGTATTTCATTTCGCTCGTATTCCCACGCTTTGCATACGGCAATTTGTTTCTTCTCATATCTCGTACTATTAAAATAAAGCGCAAAGACAAACACACGTTATTATATATGTATATATAAGTATGCGCCGTGGTTAACATATATTTGTTTAATACGTAACAATAATATTATATATTACAGTAATATATAATATATATATATGTTTAGTGTACTTTTGGTCGCGATGCGTAGAATATAATATAAATAAGAGATTTGAGAATAGAGATACTTTGTATTTGTGACGTATTCGTTGCATCTTTTGTCAATACCATCGATAGCGACTATATTTTTTTTATATCGCTTGACTACGTCTTCGAGCGTGTTTCTATGATTAATTCGTTGCCTCTCCAGATCCGTAGTAAATCCTTATAAGTATATATAATATGTTCAGGAGGGAAAAGAAAAGAGAAAAAAAAGAAATTACATATTTTATAATTATATAGTGTGTGTGTGTATATATATATATAATTACTGGCAACATCTACAATAGATTTCTTCTGACAATGCCACAATTTTCTGTAATGTAATTCTTTGCTTCTCCCTTCTCCCGGCATAACATACATTCTGCGTGAAATATGCTCTAAAAAATAATGAATGTGGCACAGAAATAAAGCCGATGTCATTGAGATCTGTTTACGTCGAGGACTCGTGTGAAGAACATCGATACGTTTATCAAGAATCTATAAAAAATAAATAAATGATTTAAAAAGTATCTTAAGACAAAGAAGGTACCTCCTTTCTTTTACAATAGATTATTTATTGTAGTTATCATACGTGTCTAAAAGACATCTTAAAGATATTTTTACGATGTTTTTTAGACATGTGTGCTGTCTAGGGTTTATTTTGACTTTTAATTAACAGCACAAGATTTTAACGCATTTTTTTCTTTTTTCTAACCAATAGTACATTTTTCATAGAGTAATATAGAGATATATCTCAAAAATTAATATTCTTCTTCTTATAAATAAATACGAATTTTGAATGATACAATAACAATGACTGGAGAACAACCTTTAGTGCCTTACAAACTGCATGGTCAAATCTGGATATGTCGTACCAAGTTTCTTTAATGCATACACTCGTCTTTGAATTCTTGTTAATAAATGCTAAAGTATAAAGATAAGTTTTACGATTATAGATTATAAATTAATTTCAAATCGTCAATGACGGCGTGTATATATACGATTCCAGGGCACACATATTTGCACATGAAAGGAAAACAAATATTACACCAATTTCAGAAATCTTTAAAAAGATATTATTGGTGTATTTTTTAAAGATTCGTATCTCGTATCACCTGATTGCGGTAAACATTTAGGACAAAATTCAATATTGCGTAAAATTAAGACATCGTTTATTGTGTTCATTTCGTCAGTTGTGAGGATTAGAGATAATTCAGGATTCGATATAAGGGAAGGCAAAGCCGCCTAAAATCATGAATCATATTGTAATGATATTAATAATAAGAGCGAACACGCTAACAAAGTGATAGTATTACTATATAATTACCGCTAATTCCATTTTTTTTGTTGCACACTCAAAAATAGCTTTTACAAGTGTCAACATAATCGATTCTGTCCCAATTTCTTGCATATTTTTAACAATTCTATAGAACCGTATAGGAAACGTGTATAGGAAGTTTTTATTTTCCCTACTTTCTTAACATAAAGTTTATCATATATGTTTGGACATGGATTAATCCATGAAACTTCCAAAAATATGGATTAACATATCATACACATTGACATACATCAATATATTCTGGACAATCAGAGATGTATATTCTCTATATACTTTTAAATTCAATGCAACTTTTATTTCAGCTTTTGCCAAAATCTCGCAAATAATTTAACATTATTGATATTTGTCATCATCATCATCATGGTATGTAATTAATGATAAAAAATACAATTAATTAATATTCAATTTAATGCTATACACAATGCCCTGTCCACATATATACTTACAAATACACGCAAAACTGTTTGAAATTATATAATTTATATATTCTTACAATTAGACTGGTACATACATGATTTGGCTTCACGAAATATATCTCCTTATATATCTCCTTGAAGAACAAATAAGCATCACCAAAAGATCTTCACGATAAAACATCTTATGGCCTAGTTTACACTAGTTTAAACCAATCGTGTAAACAGTATATAGCGTATCAAATATTAATTAACATTAATATTTTGGAAGGTTAGATTAGGTTAGTTTGCTGTAGTATTCCTTGATTTTGCCACTGTATAAAATGTGATATTTATTTCACATTCGAATTTATAATCTCACTGTACTTTTCACAAACTTATAAACATATGGTGTACATACGGAGTGATCATTCAGTGCGTAAACGAGGTCGAATAAACTATTGTAAATTAGGCTAAATAGCGTTTTCTATTGGGAATGGGAAAACCAGTGTGCAACACTGGTACACCCTGGAGTGCAATTTTATTGTTCTAATGTAAAAATCGGTTCACATGTTTTCAGTGTTTAAATGTTCTACTGATAAAAATTTGTCAAATTTGAATGTGCACCAGTGTTGCATTAGTTTTCCCAGTAAAAAAACAACAATATTTTACTGTTTAAATACTATAGGCCGTTCTCTTTTTTTTATTCCCAAGTATTCTCATAGTATTTTGTATGTCTCACCACAAGTATTATAAAAAACATGCATCAGAATATAGGCATATAAATTAGTAAAGAAAAAATATTACCAAGTTCTAAATCTTTATTGTGTGAAATATATAATCACATGCTCCTTAGATGGATTACAAAGATGTTACTCGAGGCCAAGCAAAAAAGACGATAAAAAATCAATAGAGGACACAGCAATTGTATTCATTAGTTTAATCTTGTAACATTGTCTATATATTATATGTAAGACATAGCCGAAAGACGGAATATTATCCGATTTATTTGTAGAATTCATGTTCAGACTCATCTTTCTTAATATTGTTTTTATAACCTTTCTCAAAATCTTTTGCTAAAACGATGTAACGATTTTCACGGACCGCGTGCATTCCTGCCTCTTGACAGATAGCATTAATATCAGCACCAGAAATTCTATCTGGCCGTGCTACGTAATCCTCAAGATCTACTTCTTCGCTCAAATTCATTTTTGCAGTAATCGTGGAGAAGATTAAGCGCTTCTGCCGACGATCAGGTAACGGAAATTCAATCTTGCGATCCAATCTACCAGGACGAAGCAATGCAGGGTCCAATGTATCCGCTCTACAAAAATATAAGTACTTATAAATACCAATAACTGCCTAATAAAATTAAACAGACTTTTAACAGAGTTAGACTCGACTCACCTATTTGTCGCCATAATAACTTTGACATTAGTTGTCTGATCAAAACCATCCATCTGATTGAGTAATTCCAAGAGAATACGTTGCACCTCACGATCTGCTCCAGTTTGAGCGTCGAATCTTTTTGTAGCAATAGCATCTATCTCATCCACAAATATTATAGCCGGCGAGTTCTCTTTCGCCAAACGGAATACATCACGCACCATTCTTGGTCCCTCACCCAAATATTTTTGCACAAATTCAGAACCCACTACGCGAATGAAGGCAGCTAGAAGATGGAAGATGAAGAAAGATCAGAAGAACGTTCATGTTTTATGCAACTAGATTAGATATTTTTTATGAGATTTCTCTAGTACCAGTGGTATGTCTAGCAACAGCTTTTGCTAACATAGTTTTTCCACAACCAGGTGGTCCATACATAAGTACACCTCGCGGTGGATCGATGCCAATCTGCTTATATAATTCAAAATGAGTAAGAGGTAACTCCACTGCCTCTCTGATCTCTTGCTTCTGCATATCCATTCCACCTATATCGCTATACTGGATATCTGGTTTCTCATCTGTAATATATTGCACATGCATTACACTTTCATATTTACAATCCCTTTGTTTTGTTTTAATTTAATCTCAAAATGTAATATTTATATTTAGAAAACCAAGAAAAGAATCGAGTAAGGCATTAAAAAAAAATGCCGCGTACCGTGCATAAAGTCATCGATAAAAAAGAAAGACATTAAATAAATAAAATCATATGCACGTAGTAAATCTAGCATTTCGATTTCGATTTAGACCCTGATCAAATGTTGATTTTATTATCTCCTTTTCTTGACTCACATTTCTTTTCTGATTAAATGTCTCAGAACCTATATATTGTATATAAACTTAAAAGACTTGAAATTATTACCTGCTTGTAACATAGAAATGCTAGAGTCAGCTTCTGGTGGCAGCACATCTACTAAAGCATTGCTATGCTTGTGAAGCGCTACACTAGCGGAAGGCTTCAAGAGTTCCCTGTCTATGGTAGACAAAATCCGTACATAATAATTTGAGCCTGTTGTAGAACCCACTATACCAGTGTTCTGATCAACAGCTTCTAAGAATTGCCCAATAACTAAAGGAACACTCTGGATACGTTTAACTTCCTCTTGAGCATGCAAATATTCTTTCTTCAAATTACGTTGTTCATCTTTGATATATTCTTCTTGTACCTCCAGAAATTCCAGCATTCTCTGTAGTTTCTATTAAAAAAATTACAACATATTTATAACATGCGTTCTTTTATATGTGTATATATGTACACATATATATTTGTAAAAACATTTAATGTGCAAAGTATTATATGAACTTTATTGTCACAAATATTGCTACAAAATAATTTAATTAACCAAAAATGACATTTAGATAATCAAATAAAATATACAGGGAATATAATTGTTTTTCTTATAATTATTCTAGATATATTTTGAACATATATGACAATATACAACGTATATTACGTAATATATTATAAAAACTTACGCTACCTTATATTTGGTGTAAAGATCTTCAACGTCCAGCTCATCTCCAGCTCCTGTATAATGACCAGCAGCTGGCTTGCAATCAATTTCACCTACATCCTAAAAATATAATACAAAATAATTTTACACGAGTATGTGTCTGATTGTGAGTATGCTGTACGTGTGCGTGTGCGAATTGTATATTGTATACAACGTTTATGATTATTTAAAATTATCAGTCGTAATCTCATCAAAAGGCGTATAGTATAATTGCATAGTTTTATGTAAAAGGGGGGTTACCCCCTGTCATTTTTCAGTCAGACGTGCAGATGCGGCTAATATAACTGAAGCATAAACATACCTTATCGGGCAAAATAATGCCCAGTTCTTCCATTATAGTCTGAGAAGACTGTACGAGTTAATTTAGTCGAATATCAAATGCGTCGACTCCAACGATTTATAACAAACGGTTCTATATAAATGGTTCTAAAGAGCACTGAGACTGGACTGAATGACTTTAGATCTTTGAGCATTCGTCACAAACCATGAACAACCAGCCTCAAGATGTGTCAGATACATCGGAGCACAACCGCTCATTAGGCTGCGTTCGGAAACTTTATGGTGAGTTTTTATGGGCAGTGAAATGCTGCAACAGCGAGCAAAAAAATTGATTGGTCTATTTTCTTATGCACATGTATATGGACCACGCAATTTTCTTAAGCGGGGAGCACACACTTCTGCACAACGCATAATGCGTCAGCATAAGAAAATTGATTGGTCTATTTCCTTATGCACATGTGTATGGACCAATCAATTTTCTTATGCTAAGGCCGGTATTCATAGTTATTTAAGACCGTCTTAAGTTCAATCTTAAAATGTCATGAACCAATCACAGAGCCGTATTAGCGTCTTAAGACATTACTTAAGACGATCTTGAAGACTATGAATACCGGCCTAAGACTCCATAGACGCGGAAACGCCGTGCGGTAGAGTGCATTGACCAATCAGAAGGCTGCCGCAAGTCACCTGCGGCAAAATCAAAATTTGTGATTGGTCAACGCACTCTGCCGCATGGCGTTTCCGCATCTATGGAGTCTTAAGGGGATCCTAAAGTGAAGGCTGAACTTCCTCGACGTCGGTAATGTCAACATTTCTAATTCTGTTTTCTTGTCATATATCTATATGGGCCGGTCTCACAGTCTCCGATTAACGTGATTCTCCGATTAAACTCACTCTGCATTTCTTTCTAACTATCCCCTTAGAAAGAGACGAAGAGTGAGTTTAATCGGAGAATCTAGGGAGAATCACGTTAATCGGAGACTTGGATGTCGGATCGTCGTACGTCGAACATCGGACGCAGTGTGAATCCTCCATGAGACCGGCCCTATCTGTCCTTGTCTAACAAGAGGCATCTGTCTTTGTTCGATTACTGCGCCATCTTTTGCCACACGCAATATTGCTTATCCTGTCAACCTGAATGTGCTTTTGCACATATAAAAGTTATGTAAAGTAATCTTTTTTTCTAGATTTTCAATCTTAGATCTAATTGCACGATATTGTTCTTAAATGTTGTCCCTAGGTCATGCCGGTCTAATTTTGTGGATATTTATCGTAGAATTTTTGTACAAAGCAAATATTGTCGTCACGTATACCAAAAATTAACAAAAATATTAATTTTTTTTCGTTTTTGATATAAATTTGACCACCATGACCTAGATTTTGATCCGTACTTTAATTCTAGACAAGAATTTTGCATTTCTATAAAGTCAATTAAAAGATTAGTGCTAAAAAAAAAAGCCGGTATTACAGACGGCTTTAGGATCCCCTTAACATTATGCTTACGCATTATGCGTTGTGCAGAAGTGTGTGTTCCCCGCTTAAGGCCATTGCACGTAACAAAGATTTAGCCATAATCGTAAGGCCGTAAGAAAATAAACCAATCACAGTCGATTATTCTCCTCGCGCTCGAAGAATAATCGAGTGTGATTGGTCTATTTTCTT